CAGGTAAGCAGAAGGGTGTGATCTCTGACCACTGTCCTCTGCAAAGCCTGGAGCCCAGCAGGGTCTCCTGCTTAGAAACCCCAACTTATTGTGGGGGACATGGAGAGGTCAGAGAAATAGTACAGGGAGTAAGGCACTTGCCTTGCATACAGCCAACATGGGTTTGATCCCTGCCAACCTGTGTGGTTCCCTGCACTGCCAGGAGTAATCCCTGAGCATCAACAGAAGTGGCCCAAAAACAAAACTACAAAACAAAGAAACCTCAACTTGGGTGGGCTAGAGTAATAGTACTGCGGGTAGGGCATTTCCCTTACTTACCCACTGACCCGATTTAATTTGATCCCTGACAATTTGATTTGATCCCTGCCTTTGATTTGATCCCTGGCGCCCCATATAAGTCCCCAAGCCTGTTTGGAGCAATCCTTGTGCACAGAGGCAGGACTTAGCTCTGAGGACTGCTGGGTGTTGCCCCGAAAAGAAAAAAGGAGACCTCAGTGCTTCTGGCATTATGGAAACATCATCCTGCTCCCCTTATGAGTGGTCCTGCTTGCTCCCTGTCTCTTTGTGGTTGCCCCCTGAAGATGGGCAGCCTTCATTTCCTGCTAGGAAAGAGGCAGGTTTGGTTTGTTTTACTTTGCTTTGAGACGAAACTCTGCATTCAAGAATTACTCCTGGCAGTGCTGGGGACCCAGACATAAAAGGCAAGCCCCTGCATGCTCTACGATCACAGGGAGGCATTTTTTTGTTTGTTTGGGGTTTCTTTGTTACTACTGTTTTTTGTGAGGGTTTTTTTAATTTGTTTTAGTGCCACACCAGCTGTGCTTAGGGCTTACATCTGGTTCTGTGCTCAGGGATTACTCCTGCTGGCAGTGCTGGGGGACCATATCGGATGCTGGGGATGAAACCTGGTTGGGGAGGCAGTTTTGACTGTCCTAAGCTTTTTTTATTTGTTTTAATAGAGGTCAACCCACAGTGCTTGCAGGCCCTGCAGGGCTAAATATCAACTCGATCTCGCACAAGCTAGGAATGTGCCTATTTTTTGAACTATCTCTCTTTTTTTTTTCCCCCTGCCCAAGAGCCTACTACCTGGTTTCCTCCTTTCCTAGACTCTCCTTACATCACACTAAGACAAATGCTCGGTAATTTTCTATACCCCATTGAGCTGTTGTTTCTTGTGTTACTTACAGACCCTAAGGGTCCGTGTGGGGAGCCGAGATACACTCATTGCATAAGAGACCACTAGTCACTAGCCCCCAACCCAAAGGAATTGGGTGTTCTGCCTGGCCTGGGCCGATGATTGTCCCCTCTAATTCTGGTTTCTCTGGCCTCAGGTCTTCCTCTCCAAATAACACCAACCCATTTGGCTCCACCTTCTGCTTTGGTCTTCAGCGGATGATTTTTGAGGTAAACCCCCCGGCTTGAGAGATCAGTGGTTATAGGAGGAATAGTGAAGGCAGATGACTGAAGGGGGCCCAGTGGCTCTGCAGACTGGCTAATCCTCCACCAACCCTGTCACGAAGAATTGGGCTTACTTACATTTGGGAGGGGGGACGTGGGGGCCCACACCTGGCATTGTTCAGGGGTAACTCCTGGCTCTGCACTCAGAAATTACTACTGGCAGTGCTCAGGGGACCATATGGGGTGCCGGGGATCAAAACCCAGTCAGCCTCCTGCAAGGCAAGAGCCCGAACCACTGTACTCTCTCTCTTGTCCCTTTAGCAGCACTGTTAAGTAATACAAGTATCTCTGGGTTTGGCTACCCCACCATTTTTTGGTGGTGGGGGGGGAGGGGATTCATACCTCATGGTGCCCAGAGTTTATTCCTGGCTCTCTGCTCAGGGATTACCCCTGTTTGGGCTCAGAGGACCCTTTGGTGTGCCAGGGATCAAACCATGGTTAATTGTGTGCAAGGCAGGTGCCCTACCCACTATGCTGTCTGTCCAGCCCTGGGCCTACCTGCTGGAGATTCAGGCTTCTATTAGGGAAATTTGAGATTTGAGGCTGAAGCAATGGTCCATGTCCAGCAAGATGAGAGGAAATTGTGGTTCCTACATATATCTCTGAAAGCATGAGTGAAGCAGGGTAGAGAACCATAAGGCAAATGAGGTTGAGCCTGGAGTGCTGGGAACCTGGGCGATGGCCCACAGGCTGGGAGCAGAATGGGCTAGGGCCCACTTTTTCTTCCCAGCTGATGGTACTGGGGGTAGGCATTTGCCTTGCACACGGCTGACCCAGGTTCACTCTCTGGCAGCCCTTGTGATCTGCCCAGCCTTCAGCAGACCCCTAACAGATCCAGAAGAACTAGGCAGGGGCAGGAATGATAGCACAGCGGGTAGGGCGTTTGCCTTGCATGAGGCCTGACCCAGGTTCAATTCCCAGCATCCCATATGGTCCCCTGAGCATGGCCAGGAGTGATTCCTGAGTGCATGAACCAGGAGTAACCCCTGTGCATCGCGGGGTGTGACCCAAAAAGCAATAAATAAATAAATAAATAAATGAAACAGAAGAACTAGGCAGATAGGTGTGAAGTTTTTGTGAGGAACAAACAGGCATGGAGCAACAGTGACCCCTGGAGGGGAGCGGGTGTTGCGGGATTGGCCCTCCCTGTCTGCGGGTGTGTTTCGCACACAGCTTTGAGCACCCATGCGTGGAACGTGCCTCGGGTCCCTTCGTGCGGCCAGTGCCCAGTGCTGCTGGTTTTCCTGGAGCCTGCTGGGCTGCTCGGCCACATCCCTCCTCCCTCCTTCACTCATGTTCTCTTCTCATGCCAGGTCATGCAGAATAATCACATTGCCTCGGTGACTCTGTACGGCCCCCCCAGGCCTGGCACCTACCTGAGACCAGCAGAGCTCTCCTAGGGACATCGCCACCCATGCCCCTCTGCCCTCTCGAACTGTGCATCACCTCCTGCTCAGTGGGCTGCCAAGTGCCACCCTGTGGGTTTTCTCAGACACCTTGCCAGTATTGACGGTTGTTGTGATATTGGGGTGGGGCTCAGGCTGGGTTTGCTGCACTAAGGGGAGAGGCCCAGATTTTCCTCTGTCCGTCCTCAGCCTGCTGGTGCCAACAGGAAACACAGACTGCAAAGAGAAGCACAAACTCTGAGCCTGGATACCTGGTCCAGGAGCTCTCAGCTCTATGTACGGAGGCAGGGTTCTGTCTCCCCATCCCCTGCCCACTGGGAAAACCTGGGGCTCTTTCTGGCTGAAGACACAGGTACCAGGACGAGGACAGGTCCTGCCTTTGGCCCAGCATGGCCACGTGACCCTTAAGGCAAGCAGGTAGCATGTCCATAGTACTTGGTTGCGACTTTTGCACTACATCTACTTTAGTTACTTGATGAACTGGCTGTGGCCAGTGTGGCCCACCTGCCCTTCCTTGTTTCCTTCTTGCACGCGCTCCCTTGCCAGGCCTCAGAGATACAGCACAATGGTTGAAACTACTTTCTACCATCCTGGTGCGTACCCAGGCCTGGTTCCCACCCATCTTGAAGTCAGCCTTCAAGTGAAACTGTGCCCCCCCCCCGTCCTGCCCCAGTCTGGCTGGCAGGGCAGCATGTTTCCATCCTGTTTGCCTCTTTTATTTAATGCCAAAGTTTTAGCCAAAGACATCTTCCTTCTGTTGCGTTTCCACATTATGTCCCGCACTGTGGGCTGGCTCCCCTGCCCCGACCCTGGCCACTGTCCCCTGGCTGGCCCAGTCTTGGCTCAAGGCCTCTGGGGACTCAAGGAGGACTGGACTTCTTGGTCTCCATGAGTCTTGCTGAGGAAAGTAGCATATGTACTTTACAAATATTAATCCTTTTGAAAAGAATTGAGAAGAGAAATGTATAATTTTATCCCATTTTTAATATTTTGGTCTAGCAACTTGTGATACATAGATGACAATTTTGTGAGTTTTTCAAATGTGTGTACAGAATTTTGTAAATATGACTGTTTTGTAATTAACTCATGTACAGCCTCATCCTGTATAGTTAACGATGAATGTGCAGGGGGCCTGCCTGCGCTCTGGTTACTGGGCCTACAGCTAGGCTTGTGTGGCGCTCCCATGACTTTGTGACTGGTGTCTTCCCATCTGGACTGATCTGACCAGAGAACCCCCACATAGCCCACCGTCAGGGGTAGCCAGCACTGTCCTCAATTCCCAGAAAGGGGGAACCTTCCTCACCCCCTGCCCACATCCCCTCCAATAAAGACCTATACCCTCAGCAGTGGCTCACCATGTGCCAATGCTGGGATGTTTGTACTAAAATAAGTGTGTGGGTGATTTGTTTTTGTTTTTGTTTTTTTGGAGGAAGACGTCATTGGAGAATACAGGAGGTTTTATAATTGGGTTCACCTTAGGGGAAACAATTCCCAGCACTCTGAAAGAGACCAGCACACTTGAGTGATGTGGGTTCTTTGCTGCTGAGTCGTGTGTGCCTCTGTCCCTCGTGTTCTGCCAAGCCAGGGCAGAGGACTTGGCTCCCGGGAAATGGGCCTCAAAGATCTGAAGACCAGGGCTGGACTGGAAATCCCATTTGGGAGAGGGGAGGGGATGCTTGCTTTCAGGTTAAGATGCAGAAGAGTGCTTAGTTCTAGGACTATGGCCAGTCCCCATTCCTCGCTGGACTTCTACCTGAGAAAAGTTTATCTTTGTCTACATCGTCCGGGGGTTCTAAACCAGGGAGCATACACACACACACACACACACACACAGAGCTCAGTGTTCACAACTCAGCAGCCCTGCCTGTCTCACACACACACATGCACCTGCACACACCCAGGAGAGCCTAATGTCTCATCTCAGCAGCTCTGTCTGTATGTACATGTACTACACACACACGCGCGCGCACACACACACACCCTGGTGTCCACCTGTTTCAGCTCTGCCTTCCTCGAAGGGCTAGTTCTAGACGGGCTGCCAGAGGGGTGACCCAAATCACCCTGATTGCCAGGAACCCGAGGAAGACACCTGACAATCTGGGGTTGTACTAAATACCTTTGAGGGTAAGGAGGAAGACAATGAAATAATTTGCTAGGGAAACCACCTTCAAACCTCCTGCATCCTGGGAGTGAATGAGCAGCCCTTGGGGCTGTGGTCGCTGGCTAGGGGCCCCACTGGAAGGGGCCGGTAGCTGCAGGCAGCGGCTGTGCACAGGCTGGCCCCTTCTGCTGGTGCAACAGGTGCCACATCAGCCAGATGTCAGCAGCTGAGAGCCCGTGCACTACTACCAGCTCTCGGTAAAAGCAAGGGTCGAAGGTGCGCAGGTTGGGGGCGGCCGAGGGCTGGGGGATGCCAAAGGTCCGGAAAGCAGGGTGAGGCTCGGGGGTGAGGCGCAGGCGCTGCAGACACATGCCCAGAAAGACGTCGTCGATGGGGAAGAGCTCGACCTGCGCGCAGGCGTCGGCCAGCCGGTGCAGCGTGGCCGCCGACAGCACGAAGCCGCCGCCGCCCGCGTAGGCCGGGTAGGCCGTGAGGCCGTACACGGCCTCCGGGATGTAGTACTTGCTGCTCCTCGCGCGGATGGGCCGCGCCTGCACGATCACGTCACCCGCAAGCAGATCCTGGCCCGGGTCCCGGGACGCCAGGAACTCCAGGAGATTTCCGATGTGCACGAACACATCGGCGTCGCCCTTGAAAACGAAGCTCACGTCGGGGCAGTAGGAGGAGGCCCAGGCCAGAAAGTGGATCTCCTTGAGCGTTAGGTTGAAGAAAGTGTCCTCAAAGGCCCAGAGCAGGATGTCCCCGTAGGCGCGGCTCTCAGCTCGCAGCAGGGACTGCCAGTCTGCGCGCCAGCCCTGGCGCTCCCCGTCGGGCCCCGCGGGGTCTGCAGCCCGGGGCAAGCCCAGCAGGAACACGCGGCGCACCAGCGCCCCCTGCACACGACCCTCAGCCCCCCACGTCTGGCGCACGGCTTGACGCCGCTCGAAATCGGACACCACCGACTTGACGGCGATGAGCAGGTGCGGCCGCGCGCCGCGGCACTTCCGCGGCTGGTTGATGAGCAGCGGGAAGCGCCGCTGGTCCTTGGCGCGCAGATAGCGGCCAAAGTCAAAGGGTCCCGTGGGCGTGGGCGGTCCCGGCGTGTCGCCTTCGTAGGCCAGCGGGGCCTGGACTTCGCGGGGCCTGGGAGTGAGGCCCTGAGCTGCCAGGGAGGAAGCCGGCGCCGCGGCGGTGGTCGGGGCCGCCCCGTCCCGCTGCGCGTAGAGCAGGAGGCCGAGGGCGGCGCCCAGAAGCAGCGTGAGCAACGCGTCCCTGCGCGGGCACAGCCTCCGCCTCATGTCCACTCGGCCTGCGCCCGCTCCGCCTGCGGAGAGGCTCGGTCAGGGGCCGGCGACGCAGCCAGCGCTCCAGGACCCCAAACCCGGGTCTCGGACGACTGCACCCTCCCAGCAATCCGACTCGGACCCCTGAACCCTCCACCCGAGGGGCACTCCGAAAGGGAAGGAGTCCTGCTAGCGACTTCTCTGGTGTCCCCACCCCCGGGCCAGGTTCCCAGCCAGCCCCCGCCCCCGCCCTCCCGGCCCCTCCGCAGCCCGATTCCTACTACCCCTCCCAACCACCAGGGCTGATCTCGGGATCCCCCAACACTCACGCTCAGCCCCAGACGCCCCGGCCTGCAGGGCTCAGCGCAGGGTCCCCAGGGCGGCCATGAACAGGGGCCTGGGCCAAATGCAGCGCTGGCAGGAAGGGGGACCGAAGTCGCTGCCACGTGACCGTCCAGCTGTGCGCGCCCAGACATCTGGAGCCCGGCTCCCGGCTCCGCCCCGGCGCCTGTTAGTCTCTACGGGAAACACTCTGGGAACCCAAAGTGGGCTCTGGTGTGGGTGCAGGCTCAGGCTTCCCAAATTCGCCTTTCCCAGGCGCTGGAGGAAGGTAAGTTTCTGATAGACTTCTTGCCCACCTCTCCAGTGGGAGGGGGAAATCTTGGCACAGCCCCTCCTGGAAGCGTCTCTCAGGTGCTGGTGGAGCCCATGAAATGCCCTGGGACATGTCTCTCCTTCCCCCACCCCGCCCCCTGCGTGTAAGCACACATACATACACACACACACACACACACACACACTATAAGTCACCTGGTTCAGGGTCACCAACACTCCACTGGCTGTTCTCTAATACTGCACAAACCCAGGTAGCGACTGTCCAGATACAAAATGGCAGAAGGTAAAGCCCGCCTTCTGGCTTTCCCACAGGATGTCCTGTGCCTCCCCTCCCACCCACTCAGGAGGCTGCCTCTGCTGTAACTGAAGTCGGCTGGAATTCATAGGTGAGCATTTCAGACTATTTGTCCCAGAAGCAGCTGATGTTCCGAGGTAGCTCGGCCCATGGTAGATATAACCATGCTTGCATCACTGCATTTGTTCAGCTTGGGGAGACTCAAGTCAGCACATAAGCAAAAGACTTGATCTGAGGGGCTGGAGAGATAGTATGGCAGGCAGGGTGCTTGTCCCGGAGCCCATCAGGACTGATCCCTAAACACTGCTCAGTGTGACCTGAAAACTAAAACCAAAACCAAAATCAGGGCAACCTCAGAGCTGGGCAGGGACGCTCTGGAGCCTGAGGCCCAGTCCTTGCCCAGCACTGCAACCAGCTTTTTGACCAAGGTAGGTGGGGACAGGCATGGATCATGACGCTAGGCTTGGAGGCTCGTGCTCAGGGTTTTCTCCTGAAGATGTTGGAGGGACCATGTGGTGCTGAGGGTTGAACCCAGGGCTCTTGTATGCAAAACATATGTTGCAAATCTGAAACTCAGCATCGCAGGCAACGGGGCCTGGAATAGACAGGTTCCCCCACCCCTGTGTCTGAGGATAGCTATGGCTTTACTACTCAGCACCATCCTTCTTCTGGGCCATACTTGTGCCTCCGACAATTCCATCAATATTCCTAAGAAGCAAACCCTGAGCCAGAGCGATAGTACTGCAGGTACAGCGTTTGCCAACCTTGTTTGATCCCCTCACTTCATATAGTCCCTCAAGCCCTGCCAGGAGTAAGCCCAAAGCAGCACTATGGTATAAAAAAGAAAGAAGTGATATTCAAACCCTGGGGCTGGTGAGAGAGTACAGGTTTAAGTACAACCATTTTTTTAAAAAAAAAAAAAGGGGGGGGGGCTGGAGCAATAGCACAGCGGGTAGGGCATTTGCCTTGCACGGGGCCGCCCCGAGTTTGATTCCCAGCATCCCATATGGTCCCCTGAACACCGCCAGGAGTGATTCCTGAGTGCAGAGCCAGGAGTAATCCCTGTGCATAGCCGGGTGTGACCCAAAAAAAAAAAAAAATCAGGAGTGGCCCCTGAGCACCACTGTGTGGCCAAAAAAAAAAAGGTCAACTCCTTTTCTTGATCCCCTACTTTCTTCTTTCACAGACTTCTCAAGAGTCCTATTCTGGCTTCTTCCACTCGGGTCTGGCCTCAGACTGCCCCATCTGGTTACCTTTTCCCCAGGGTTCCATCACAGCCCGTGGGCATGCGCTGGCTTCCAGATTGCCTGGGTTTCCTCCTGCCTCTCTGGGCCACCCCTTTTCCCACCGATCCCTAGACCCAGCCCTTCTCCACATGCTGTTCCACCACCCCACCCTCCCCCCTTCCTTCAGGAACTTCCTGAGGCTGTGGTGGCAGGAATACTGCCCTTCTCTCAGCCCCACCCACTGCGTTTACACTCAGCCCTCCCCGTTACTTGCCTTCCCAGCTCCTTCTATTTTTCATATTCACTGAAACAAAACAAGAATCGTTTTAATACTGTTAATATAAAGAGCCCCACAGAGTGAACTGGGGGACAGCTGCTCTGTCCTGTTCACTGTGTCTGCAGCACCCAAATGACGCAAGGACACAGTGTTTGTCACCTTCCATTGGTGAAGGTGGTGAGAATGGGCAGGAGCCTCTCTTCTAACGCCAGAGGTTGACACAGAACTCTGCCCCCAGCCACCTGTGCTCTCTATCTCTGTCAAAGTGTTTGGGCGAAATCCCTCCATGGCACACGTGGCAGTCCAGGTGCCAGATGGGTGCCCATCCCATCCCGCAGAGGGCAGTGAGGTTTGCTCTGCAGCCCCAGCAGATCTGCTACTGTAGGGTGCAACATGGCTTCAGGACCCCATGGATGGCCAGGACGTCAGCAGTAGCAGCAAAGGGGACCCTAGAGTCACCAAAAGGTTCCGAAGCCTGGCTGGGCAACTGGACTCCACGCGCCTTTCTCTCTGGCTGCTTAGGCTACACCGTCATCGGGATGTGCGAGGCCTAGCAAATCCTCAGCCAGGCTGGTGAGCTCGTTCTCCTCGAGCGCCTCCACCAGGCGCTGCAGGGTGGCACGGCGGCCCTCGGCCTGCACGAAGCGCCGCAGCATCTGGAAGGCCTGTTCGTACAGGCCCTCACGCTCGTACTCGTAGGCCAGTGAGTCCAGCGCTGGGTCCCGCAACGCGCGGCAGCTGCGCTGCAGTGAGCGCCCCACCTTGCGCCACTTGAGGCCCACCGAGCGTGCGAAGGTCAGTTGGTCCTGCAGGCTCAGCGGCCGGTTCACTGCAGGGACAGGGGAGTGGAAAGCCGAGTGAGCGCGGGCCCCAAAGTCTTCCCCGCCCAGGGGCTGGAGCGATAGCACAGCAGGTAGGGTGTTTGCCTTGCTCGCAGCCGACCCAGGTTCAATTCCCAGCATCCCATATGGTCCCCTGAGCACCGCCAGGAGTGATTCCTGAGTGCAGACCCAGGAGTAACTCCTGAGCATTGCCGGGTGTGACCCAAAAACAAAAACAAAACAAAACAAAAAAAGGTAAGTCTTCCCCGCCCAGACGGTGCTCCTCCCCTGATTCCTTCCAAAGACACCCCTGCCAGCGCCTCACCTACGGGCTGGCCCTGGAACAGAAAGGTCTGGCCAGTGGGCGGCGGCGGCGGCGGCGGCGGCTTCTCCTCCGACGGAGAGGATGTCAGAGTCTGCGAAGGGGCTCCAGGGACAGCCACGTTGTCGCCCTGGCCCCCCGAGTTACACGATAGATTCCGAAGCGCATTGTCCAGCTCAGCGAGTTCCTCGTCCCGGAGCCGGTCGGGCTGGAGAAGGGAGTGTGACGTGGGTGGGAGCCTTAGCCGCTGGGGCCCCGCCCAGCCCGGGCCCCGCCCGGCCGCACCTTCTCGGCGAGGATGCAGCTCAGACAGCGTTCCTCCTCGGTCATCAGGCCATCCAGCCGCTCGGCGCCGGCCCGCAGCTCCAGTTGCAAAGGTACCGAGTTCAGAGCGAGCGCTGCCGCCAAGCACCTTTGCAGTGCGGCGCGCAGCGCCCCCTCGCGGTAAGTGCGCAGAAACAGGCTGCAGGCCTGGCGCCGGCAGAAACGCACCTGCACGATCAGCTGCGGGTCGCTGCGGTGGATCTTGAGTATCTGCAGCTCGTCTGGGTTCCCGCAGCATTCTGCAGAGGGGGGTAGTAAGGCGATCGCCATGGGGGGCGGGGGGCCGCTCTCCAAGCGCCCGGCGGAAAGAGGAAGCCCGTGATCAGACCTCGACCCATTCACAGAAAGGGAGGTTAGCCCAAAATACACAAATGGGAAACAAAATTGGGAAGCAAAAAAAAACCACCTCGAATGATACAGGGCACAGTACCGAGAGCACTCCGAGACAGAGTCGGTGCCATTCTAGCCCACCCCCTAAGTGCCAAATGAGATGATCAAAGGGACATGAGGCGAAAGTGGCACGAAGCAGGCACATGCCTTGGGCCACCAAGCCGGCTGGCGAGGGGACAGGATAGAGGTGGTCAAGTCTTGGACTCCACCAAGAAGCTCCGGCGGCCCGGAAAGAAAAGGGGCTCTTCCACTCTGGGGCTGGAGCCGATCCCGGTGCAGTGCCAACCTCCTGCCCTGAGATAGGAAAGGGGGGGTCCAAAAGGTAGATACTGGGGAGAGGTCTTGTGCAAGTGCTGCAGTGAGAGAGGAAAAGAGAACAGTGAGTCATTAGTAGCAAAAAAGGAGCCAGAGAGCCAGAGCCATAGTGGAGCGGGTAGGGGAGTTTGCTTTGCATATGACTAACCCAGGTTCGATCCCCAGTATCCCAAATGGTCCTCCTAGCACCACCAAGAGTGATTCCAGAGTGCAGAGCCAGGAGTAACCCCTGAGCATTGCTGGGTATGACCCAGAAATGCCTCCCCCCCCAAAAAAGCAAGCAGGAAGCCAGTGGCATGGTGAGTGGGGGCCTTCAAGAGGGGTCATTAGCACAGAGATAAAAGGGGGAGGGGGAAGGCAAATCTACACCCCAGGGTTTATGCACCTCAGCAGGTAAAAGCCTACACAGCCCAGAATCTTCCCTCCCCATCTATATTTCTCCTAACCTGGGAGTTAAGTGCAGCCTATACAGTGAAGAGGAGGTTCTTAGCCCCTGGACCCTCTACAAAGTCCCCCCGCAGCCCCTCCTTCTCCAAGGCCAGCACCCACACACCTGTCAGTGCCGTCCGCAGAGCCTGGTACACCGCCACCTTCTTCTGGGAGTGAGCGTAGGCATCTGACAGATCCACCTTGTCCAGCGTGGACTCCACAAATAAGTAGGCACTGCCCACCCAGTCCTCGGGCCCATTGGGCCCAGCTGCCATCTTGCCTGCTGGAGATGCAGACAGGGGTCCAGGTCATCCCCAACCCAACTGCATAACCCAAGCTGTTCCCCCAGGTCTGGCTTCTGGCTGTCCCCAGCTTGCAAGCACACTTGTGAATGTCATTATCCCCTGGCAGATCCTCTACCCAGTCCAGCCTTGAGCAGGGACATGCCCACCCCTGCCTGCTCAGAAAGAATCCAAGTCACAGGGGCAGGGAGAGGCGTGCCCCGCCAGGTGAGGGCACAGTCAGTGGGAGCGGGCAGAGCTCTAGCCCTTCACTCAGGCCTCACAGCCTCCAGGATCTGCCACCCGCTGCTTTCTAAGAAGTCCTGCAACCTTATCTCCAGGTCTACTTTAATTTTTTTTAATTTTGTGGAGGAAAGGTTTGGACCACATGGTGCTGGGGATTGAACTAGGGCTTTGAACTTTGGCCACCTGCAAAGCAAGCAACTACTAAGCCCTGTACTATCTCTGTGGTCACTTCAATAATTTTGTTTTGGGGCCACACCCTGCTGTGCTACAGATATACTCCCTGACAGGTGCCCAGGAGTCACTCCCAGTGGTACCCAGGACCAGGCAGTTCAAGGGACCAAACTAGGGCCTCCGGCATTCAGTCTGTTCATCTCGATGGCCCATCTTCCACCTCAATTACAGTGGCTGACCCCACGCCCCAGATCCAAGCAAGCATGGGTGTGAAGCAATCCTGCCTAATCTGCATAATCCATTTCTCTTCCTGAAATGACTGACTCTGAGTTAAACAAAGAACTCCATTTGGATCAATCACAGTCCTTATTGGTCTGGCTGGATCAATAAGGCTCAAGTGTTCTGTCCATTGGCTGGGAGGGAGGGTAAGTCTCATCTTTATCCTGAAATAGCCTGGCTGATGGAGAAACTGACTCAGAGCCACTCAAACTGCTGGGCCTCTCCTTCTAGCTGCCTCTGATTCTTCAGCTATGTGAGCTAAATGTTTCCTTTCTGTTTTAAAACCCTTGGAACTGGGTTATTGTCTCAAACAACTCAGACTGTTCTATTTTTCATTCCTTCCCAGTCCAGACAGACCCAAGGCCCCCTAGTACTCACATCTCCATCTATTTCCTGGCCAAATCCTGCTCTAGAGGGGAAGAAGAAGGCCAAAATCCCACCCAAGAACCCATGTACTGATCCCACAAGTGGCTAGAGTGACAACAGGGCAGCTGCCACTAGCATCTACTTGCCTGAGGGACAGGGAACCTCAGAGGACGGGTGCCAAAAGGAGCTTGGGCTGCCACCTTGGGCACTGTCGGGGAGTAGGGATCCTGAGCTCAAAGGAGAGGCTATGTTTCAGATCTGCTCCCAGACCCAGATCTAAGCCAAAGTTGGAACCAGGGCTGGACAGGGAGGGGCCCTCTGGCAACAAAACTTAGCAAGAGAGGCAGGAGAGATGGTACAGCCTTCGAAATGGCCAACTCAAGTTTGATGCCTGGAACCCCATGTGGTCTCCTGAGTCCCATCAGGAGTGATCCCTAAGCCAGAGTCAGGAGTATCCCCTGAGCAGTGCTGACGTGGTCCCAAAACCCAAAAACAGAACATAAAAACCCGGCAGGTGGAATGTTTAGTGATGGTCTCACCCTGGATGCGGGGCCGCGGGTATGCCTTCTGAGCACCCCTCCCCACCTTTTCATAGAAAACATAATAGTACTTGTGTATTTCAGTACTTTTCCCAAAATAATGGTCTGGAAATTACCAAAAAGCTAGCATGATTTAGGGAGAAGAGGGGAGAAAGGAGATTTTGATTCTTACAGAATTTAGCAACACTCCTATAGAGATGCATTCCCCTTGTATTGAAAGGTAAAAATAAATAAATAAATAAATAATTGTTTTACTAAATGGGAGAAAACGCTGGAGGCTCCAAGTGGGAAATATCCAGGGGTATGGAGAAAGCAAGACCCTCCAAACGCTTCCTCTTCCTCTTCTCAGTCCCCCAATTGAGGGTGCTGGCCTTGGCCTCGCCCCTGGAGGAGGGATGCATCGTCATACAGGGGACAAATGCGACACATGCAACAGTTGCGCCAGTCTGGGGGTCCAGAGGGCCAGAGGTCAGGGAGGAGCCAGGCCCCTGGGCACTTCCTGCGCGTTCTCCTCAGAGGACCCTCCGCGGGGCCGCCCTACCAGGACGCCGGAACCTGCAGCTCTGACTGAGCCCGGGGAATACGCAGCTGGGCTGGACTGTGAAGGGCACGTGGGTACCAACTCTACATGGAGGGGGCGGGGGGTGGGGGGCGGAAAGAAACCCAACATCAGGAGCCAGCTAGGCGCAGCCGTCCTAAAACACGACTTAACAGTCCTGGGGCAGTCCCACCTCAGGCGGGGTGAGCGGGGACGGCCCCTCCAGCACCCAAAACCCGCAACTCCAACATCCAGCCGCGCGTGCCCTTCTCAGCAGCGCCGCGCTAGCGGGGAGCTCCCGGATCCCCCACCATACGGCGTGCTACTAGCTAGGGAGTGGGGGGGTCTCTGCTCCGCGATCCTGCAGAACCAGCCCCACCCCACCAGAAACAGGGGTCCAGTCGCCCCGTCCAAAGCCCCAAGCGGGAACTAGGAACCCGCGCAAGGCAGGGGGGTCAAAGTCCGCAGCCCGCCTCTCGCGGAAACAGCCTAACCCGGCTGCCACCGTTACCCGGCCGGATAGCCGCGGTGACAGCGCAGACCTGCGCCTGGACCCGCCGCTTCCCGCCGACCCCCGGGAGCACCCCCTACCTTCCACTGACCTGCCCGCCGCCTCCCGGTCTGAGTTCCCACGCCCGCCAGGCTCCGCCGCCTCGCGCAGCTTCCGGGTGTGCGCGGAGCTCAGGGGCGGCGCCCCAGTCCGAGCCGCCCGGGCCGCCCGGGCCGCCCCGTCCGCCCCGCGGCCCGCCCCACCCCCTCCGCGGTGCCCTCCGCCTGCTGCTGCTGGGCGAGCCGGCCGCGGGCTCCGCCGTGCAGGTAAGACTCGGCCCGGAGCTGCACGGGACCTCGGGCTTGCGCTTCTTGAATGAGGCCGGGGTTTGGGGGCGGTGAGAGCTACTCCTCTTCCTCTGGCTGGGGCCACGTCAGTAAGGGAGATGCCGCTGGGTCCAGGGCTCTCGGGGGGCGATCTCTGCGACTCCCCACGGAAGATCCGGGGGCCGGGGTGCAGGTGGAAATCAGGCCGAGGCAGCGTGTTCTTTATCTCGCTTGCATGCCGCGGTGTCTCTTTGCTTGCCTGTTTCCACTCGGGAGAAGCCCGTGTTCTCTTTCAGACACGCACTTTTCTCTTTCTCGCCCATCACATCCTTCTAAATAAATTTTAATAAAAAGAAAAGGGAAAAAAAAGAAATCTGGCCAAGATAACCAAAAGTGTCAAGTTGGGGGATAATAATGTAATTTGCCGAGGTGCAAGTTCCAGCAGGAACCGTTAACCTGAGAAATAAGTGAAAACAGAAACGTAGTATCAGCAAAGCTTAGAGTACCTTAAAATAACATTGCCACTTCCAAAACGACCGTACACTTTCCAGTGAGGCCTCCCGCAGAAGCCGCGCTCGCTGTCGGGTCTGCGGGTGTGTCTACACCGCCCACTGGAAGCTTTGGGCCTCTGAGGGTCAGGATCGGAGTCTAGGGGCCCTGAGGCCCCGAAGTCCCCAGCTTTTCTCTGCCCCGCCGGCCTGTCATTGAAAGCCTACAGGATGCCTCCCAGAGCCAGAAAGGGAAGGAGCCCGCCCCCCTTGGGCGGGTTCTGCTGAGCCCCACCCGCGGCACTGCTTCCTGATTGGCTTCCTGCCAATTAAGTCCCTAGAGCGCCCGCCCTATTAACCCTTCGGTTGGTTTTCGGCGTTTAGAGGGATAGGGCGAGGTTTCTCTGGCGTGCCCGCCCCACGTACTAATTGCAATTAAATTCTTGGGCCCTGCTCTTTCCTGAAAACTGATTTGTGAACAAGTGTCGAAATGATTCTGCTGCCAGGCTCTGTCTTAAAAGTCTTCATTTCAGTGGCCTTTTTATGTCTGTCTTGGTCCCAAATACTAAAGAAGCATATCCCTGAAAAATTTTTCTGGCTAGCTCAGAGGCACTGAGTATGTCTATGGAGCAGCGGCATGAGACATAAACAACGCGGGTGAGGTTGGCGAGAGCCACGGCCTTTCACCTTCTTCAGAGAAGACTGTAGTTAACAGGGAGAAAGAACCAAGGCATCCTCCAAAATTCATGAATCCAGACAAGGGATATGGCTCAACAGTAGAGCACTTGCATTGCATGTGTGAGACCAGGGTTTGAACCCGTGCATATTTCTCTCTCTCTCTCTCTCTCTCTCTCTCTCTCACACACACACACACACACACACACACACACACACATACACACACACACACACATATAATACTCTCACTCACACATTTATGAATTCACTTTATCAACTTCACCCAGAGGTCCTGGTCGTGTTCCTTCTGGTAGAGCATAAAATGTGGATTTTCTCACCAAGCGAGGAAGTAGTTTGGGGAAGTTCCTGCTCTTTGAGCTGTCTTCCACTGCCCTGAGAAAGGAGTTTAAAGAATCAGAGATCAGAGGCACCAGAGCAATAATTCTGTCGGTAAGGTACTTGCCTTGCATGTGGCCATCCTTTTGATCCCCAAAACCATATTGTCCCCTGAGCATCGCCAGGAGTGATCCCTGAGCACAGAGCCCTGAGCATTGCTGGATGTGGCCCAAAAACCAAAATAAATAATCATAAATCCAGGGCCAGGAGACAGTACAGAGGGTAGGGTGTTCCATGCAGATGACCTGGGTTAGATACCCAGTATCCCTTGTTGTCCCCCAGTCCTGCCAGGAATGATCCCTTAGCACAGAGTCAGAAATAAGCCCTGAGCATGACCAGATATGACCCCCTCCCCACCAAAAAAAAATTAATCAGAAACCCTATGGTATTCAGGGCCAACTTCATGGGCCTGAGTGCTTATGCTTACTTTATTAACTTAAAAAATTGATCTAGGGGCTGGAGAGATAGCACAGTGGGTAGGGCGTTTGCCTTGCAAGCAGCCGACCCGGGTTCGATTCCCAGTATCCCATATGGCCCCCTGAGCACCGCCAAGAGTGACTCCTGAGTGCAGAGCCAGGAGGAACCCCTGTGCATTGCCGGGTGTGACCCTACCCCCCAAAAATAAATAAATAAATAAAAGCAAAAAAATTGATCTACTGTCAGGGCTGGAGAGATAGCACAGCGGGTAGGGCGTTTGCCTTGCACGCAGCTTACCCAAGTTCAATTCCCAGCATCCCATATGGTCCCCTGAGCACCGCCAGGAGTAACTCCTGAGTGCAGAACCAGGAGTAACCCCTGTGCATTGCCGGGTGTGACCCAAAAAAGCAAAAAAAAAAAAATTGATCTATCTACAACTGTTTTGGGGGAGTGGGGGGGGAAGGCAGTAACACCCACCCACCAATATTTAGGGGTTACTTCTGGCTCTGCACTCAGGAATTACTCCTAGTGGTACTCAGGAGCAGATGGGGTGCCAGGGATCAAAGTCAAGTTGGCCACATGCAAGGCAAGTGAGTGCCCCTACCTGCTTTATTGTCACCCCTGCGCAACTGTGTGAAACTTCTAAACGCCAGTTTGAACAAAGGACTCCTGGTTCCCACTCTGACTGGGCCTTGCAGATTATGTAGCAGCTGCCAGGCCACGGTTATTTCTGTCCATGGCTTGTCCCGCTCCCTATGTCACTTTGGTCTTCTTGACCTCCTGATTTTCCTCCTCTCTCTCCAGGCCCTCAGCTGCCACTAAATGCCTAGCCATGACTGAGCATGGGGAGCAACTGCCAGAGGAGGTGCTGGCACTCATCTTCTGTTACCTGCCCCTGCCCGACCGTGCTGCCGCCGCCAGGGTTTGCAGGGCCTGGGCTGCCGCCGCCACCTGCAGTGCCGTGTGGCATGACGTAAACATCAGGTGAGCCCCTTCTTCCCCCTCACATCCTGCCACCCTGTTTTTTTCATTCTTCTCTGTGGAGTCAGGGAATGTGTGTGTGTCTGTATGTTGTTGTTGTTGTTGTTGTTGTTGTTGTTGTTGTTGCAGGGAGCCACTTTAAGTGGTGCTGGGGGCCACCAGAGTTAGTGCTGTGGCTTGGTATGCAGTCTCAAAGTCTATGATCTCACAGCTATGTGCTGTCCCACTCTGAACCACATCCCAGGCCTGAACTCTCTGCTTATTAAAAATTATTACCCATATTTGATTCCTGGCACCCATATATGGTCCCCTGCACTGCCAGGAGTGACCCTGGCTCACAGAACCAAAAATGGTCCCTGAGCACTGCAGGGTGTAGCCCCAAAACAAATAATCACTACTAATATTTATTGACTGCCTACTATGTGCTAGCCACTTTTCTCAGTTCCTTACATATAGTAACATATTTAATGCTCAAGAAAACTGGGGAGGGGGGCCCAGAGCAATAGTAAAGTGGATAGGTTGTTGTTGTGTTTTTTTTTCTTTTCCTGTCTTTTTGGGTCACATTTGGCAGTACTCAGGGACTACTCCTGGCTTTGTACTCAGGAATTACTCCTGGTGGTGCTCAGAGGCCCATATGGGATGCTGGGGATCAAACCCAGTTGGCCACATGCAAGACAAATGCCCTATTTGCTGTGCTATCACTCTTGTCCAATAGTAAAGTGGGTAGGGCGTTTGCCTTGCACGTGGCTGTCCTGAGTTCAATCCTCAACGGCAATTCATATGGTCCCCCAAGCCCCACCAGGAGTTATTCCTTGGTGTAGAGCCAGGAGTAAGCCTTGAGCACTGCCAGGTGTGCCCCAAAAACAAAGCAAATAAGAAAAAGAAAACCTATGTGGGGCCAGAATGAAAGGAGCTTTTTTTGCATGCAGTCGATCTAGGGTACATCCCTGACACCCCACAGAGTCCCCCAGATCCACCCAGGAACGATACCTGTGTGCAGAGTGAGAAGTAAACCCTGAGCTCTGCAGAGTGTGGCCCAAAAACCAAAGAAAGAAAGAAAAAGACAGAGAGACAGACAGAAAGAAAGAAAGAAAGAAAGAAAGAAAGAAAGAAAGAAAGAAAGAAACGTGGGCTACAGGGATAGCACAGCTGGTAGGGCGTTTGATTCCCAGCATCCCATATGGTCTCCCAAGCACTGCCAGGAGTAATTCTTGAGTGAGAGCCAGGAGTAACCCCTGTGTATCTCCGGGTATGACCCAGAAATCTAAAAAAAAGAAAAAAAGAAAGAAAGAAAGAAGAGAGGGGAAAGAAAGAAAAAGCCCATGTTGGGCTAGAGAGCTAGTTTAAGCAGCTGGAGCACAGGCTTCACAGGCAGGAGGCCCTGGTACCACCCCCCCCCACCTCCCCCCTGCCACACAGTCTCCCACGCCACTAGGAGTGATCCCTGGCACAAAAATCATCCCCAAGCACTGTGAGGTGTGGTCCAAACAGAAAGAAGAAAGAGCAAGCCGGTATGGTAGACAGGTAGTACTATCACCTCTTCTCCTCTGCCTGCACATAGGAAACTGAGGCAGAGGCCATCATTTCCGGCAGGTGACTCAGCTAAGGAGAGAGTCAGAACGTGACCCTCTTTGGTCAGAGCCCACTTAGAGTTTGCTAGGAAAAAGTGCCCAATTTCTCCAACACACCATGTTTTCAAATTGTTTAGACACAGATGACTTGATCCTTGGCTGGTTGTTGTTGTGGTTGTTTTGTTTCCGTTTGGGGGCCACACCCAGCGGTACTCAAGAGCTTACTCCTGGCTCTGTGCTCAGGGATCACTCCTGGCGGGGCTCAGGGGACCACATGGGGCTCCAGGGAAGAAACAGAGTTAGGGTTCACTGCTAGCATCAGCTACTACCTGGGGGCCACCTGGCATGGACCCGGAAGTGGGGAGTGCGGGAGCGGCAGAAGTGGGAAGGGAACCCAGACTGAGCGCGGGTAGAAGCTACTTCCTCATCGCTGGGCTGAGACCCCATCTTCATGCCTTGGTGCCTCTCCTCTTACCCCAAGTTGCGACTCGGAGCTAGAAAGCCTGTTGTCACTGTATCTGTCCTCCTGCCTGGATCACGTCCGCAACCTGGGGCTACAATTCGAGCCATCGAGGGAGCCCAGCCGCCGGAAAGTCAAGGAGTTGCTGACGACGCTGGCCGGCCGGACCCCGGGGCTACGCCGCCTGCGCCTGGAGTGCCGCGGAGAGAAGCCGCTCTTCGACGCGGGCCGCGACGTCCTGGACGCCGTGCATGCCGTCTGCCGGGACACGCGGGCGCTGCGCCACCTCAACCTGCGGCGCCTGCCCTTCACATTGGACGATGCGCTGGTGCTGCAGGTGGCACGCGGCTGCCCCGAGCTCCGCAGCCTTTTCCTGAACAACGACACATTGGTGGGCAGCGTAGGGCCCGGTTCAGTGCTCACGCTCCTCGAAGCCTGCCCGCACCTGTGTGCCCTCGGCCTGCACCTGGCCAGCCTGTCGCGCCCGGCTCTCGAGACACTGGCAGCGCCAGATCGTGCGCCTTTCGAGCTCCTGGTTCTTCGAGGCGCGTGCCCCGAGGATGCCCGCGCGCCGCCGCTGCCTGACGAAGCCTGGGCCGCGTTGCGCCGCCGTCACCCGGGCCTGGTGGTGGAGCTGGAGCTCGAACCCGCACTGTCCGGCGAGAGCGTGACGCGCGTTCTGCAGCCGGCGGTGCCCGTGGCCGCGCTGCGCTTCTGCCTCTCCGGGGACACCGTCGGGCCGCTGCGCTTCGCCTCGCAGCACTACGCCGCAACCCTGCGCACGCTCGAGGTGCGCGCGGCCGCCTCGGCCCAGCTGGACGCGGCGCTGGAGGAGCTGGCGGCGCGCTGCGCGGGGCTGCACGAAGTGCACTGCTTCTGCCTGGTGCGCCCGTCGGTGCTGGGGGCCTTCCGCGCGCACTGCCCGCGCCTGCGCAGTTACACGCTCAGACACACTCCGGCGCCACATCCATGGCGGCCCACACTCGTGGCGTGAAGGACGGAACCCCCTCTCCCCCCACCCCTGTTCATCCCGCCGCCGCCCCCGCGAGGGTGTGGTCTCAGAGAAGCCAGTGCGGGGGCCCAGGTGCTCCAACTACCTTCAGCATCCCGGGACTGGTGTTCCTCTGTGGGATGTCCTGGGGACCAGTCTAGGCCCACAGCACTGCGAGTTCTGGGCCAGCTCAGCGGCTCTGGCCATGGCGGGAGGGGGCAGGAAGGAGGCCACAGGGGGCCCTCGGAGGTGAATCTGAAATAAACCAACCCTGCAGTATTCCTGCGCCCTGTGAACGAGGGCGGGCTCTGACGGCGAATGACCGGCACATGTAGAGACCAGAGAGGCCATCTGGGTGGGAGACAGGTCGGGACCTCAAGGTCCCAAGTCCAAATTGGGGGAGGGGTGGGTGGAGGAGGCACGTCGGGGAGGAACACTCTTTCTTTTCAATGATAATTCCCCTGGATTCCGCGGGAGGGTGCAACCACCACCTTTTAGGACTTTCCCAGCTCACACCAGGCCGCCCCCCGGGGACTTTCTCCCCGGATGCAAAGAAGGAAGCAAGGGGCAACGAAGGGTGTAACTCGAACCCGGGTCACTCTCCCTGCTGTGCCCCGCCGCGCGCGCGCGCGCACAGTCCCAGCCGCGGCATCTGGGCGGCGGCCGGGTCTGAACCCCGCCCAGCAGTTCGCACGCGGCCGCCGCCTGACCCGGAGCCCCGGGGCGGAGCGGGGCGGAGCGGGCGGCAAACGCAGCACTTTCCGCCGCTCTGACTAGCCCGTGGCCGCCCGCAGCAGCGCAGAGCCTGGCAGACAGCGCGCCATGCAGGAAACGCCGCTGCCCGCGGAGCCGTGCCCCAGCCTCGTGCCTGCCTTCCTGGGCAAGCTGTGGGCACTGGTGGGAGACCCGGCCACCGACCACCTGATCCGCTGGAGCCCGGTGAGGGCCGGGGCCCTTCCTCCCCGTGAACGTGGCACACCCACCCACCCCCTGCCTCGGATGCTCTGGGGCGGTGGGTCCCGCCATCCAGCGGTCCGGGATGATTTACCCTGCGAGGGGCGAGCCAGATGGGGACGAGACGACCTCTTCCCGGGCTAGACCAAGTGAAGGGCGGGAATGGGGGCAGGGAGAGAGGGAGCCTCGAAGTAATCTCGGTCCCATTGCACCGCATCAGACAGGTGGGAAAATAGAGGCCCGAAGGGCTGTGGCTGACCGGGTCACTTTGCAGGCCCCTAGCCGGCAGGGGCTGGACCCCAGATCAGGCAGTCGCAGCTTTCGGGAGCCCTGGGCTGGGATGGAGTTGGGGTTCGCTTAGGGTCAGGCCTCTTGCCCCTGGCGTCGCCCCGTGTCCATGGGTGGATGGGGGAGCAAGCCGCTTGCGGAGCGGGTTCCTGGAGCGCAGGGCCTGGCGGGGGGCGGGCGCGGCTCACGGGTCTGCGCGACGGGAGGGCGGCTGCGTTCTCGGCAGAGCGGGACCAGTTTCCTGGTGGGCGACCAGAACCGCTTCGCCAAGGAAGTGCTGCCCCAGTACTTCAAGCACAGCAACATGGCAAGCTTCGTGCGGCAGCTCAACATGTGTGAGTGTCCCGGGGACGCGGGAGGCGAGTGGGGGACACCCCCCCCCGCACTCCCAGCGTGACATCGGGGTCCCGACACCCCCACCCCCGCTCCCTAGACGGCTTCCGGAAGGTGGTGAGCCTGGAGCAGGGTGGCCTGCTTAGGCCCGAGCGTGACCACGTCGAGTTCCAGCACCCCAGCTTCCTGCGCGGCCGCGAGCAGCTCCTGGAACGCGTGCGGCGCAAGGTGGGGGCGGCCTGCGGGAGTTCCCACCCCCCCAGGCGGGCGCGGCGTGAGACGGCTGGCCCTGGGCTCGGCACGCTCGCTGACCCCGTGGTGGTCCCACTGCAGGTGCCTGCGTTGCGCGCTGAGGATCGCTGGCGCCCCGGGGACCTGGGCCGGCTGCTGGGCGAGGTGCAGGCCCTTCGGGGCGTGCAAGAGAGCACGGAGGCGCGGCTGCGGGAGCTCAGGCAGTGCGGGGGGAGTGGGGGGAGAGGGCTCGGTGGGACCCTGGACAGCCCCTTCCCCTTCCTGCCTCGGTATCTGTCCTCTTGGGGGCAGGTCTGAGTTGGGCGCAGGTCTGAGTGGGCTGGGGCGGAGCGCACTCCCGGTGGGCCTCAGTGCGCTTCCCCCTCCCGCAGGCAGAGCGAGATCCTGTGGCGGGAGATGTTGGCGCTGCGGCAGAGCCAAGGGCGGCAGCAGCGGGTGATGGCCAAGGTAGACTCTCCTCCCTCCACAGGAAGTGCCCTTTTTTCCGAGGGTCAAACCCCTAAGACTTAACCCTTTGCTTCCTCTGCAGCTGATTCAGTGCCTCATTGGGCCCCTTCAGGGGGGCTCCACCAGCATCGCAGGAGCAAAGAGGAAGCTGTGAGCATCCAGCACCCCGCTGCCCCCCTGCACTTCAGTTCTCTTCACTCCTTCACCTGGAGAGCCCCCTTCCCAGACTCTTCCTGCCCCCCTTACCCCCCAGTGCTACCCAAGAACCCTCACTCCCAGATCCGGCTGCTAGACCTTATTCTCAAGGTTCTCCCTCCAGCACCCAGACCACCATTGTCCCAGCAGCAGGGAGACAGGCACAGATGGAACTGCCTCTCCACCCCCAGAGGGCCCATCTCTAGGGGAGCCCCTGCTGCCTCCGGCATGTGATGGCCAGGCCTCAGCTCTGCTGACTTGGCAGCTGGGGCCCCTGGGAGAGCCGAGCTCAGCCTGCCCTGCCCCCTACGTAGGTCCCTGATGCTAGAGGAAGGCAGCCCAACACCCACCAAGTTCAGCGCCTCCCCCCTACCTGGGGACCAGCAGGAGCCCTGCTTTCTCCACTCGGTAGGTTTTTCCTTTCCCTAGAGTACAGGTGAGCTAGGGGGTCGCCCCCCCTTCACACCCTCACACCTGTGGGTGCCGTATGGGTACTGACTGCATTCTGACTCTGTGCAGCCTCTCCCAGAGACCACACTGGGCCCCATCATCTCTGACATCCCAGAGGCCTCACTCTCCCCGGAAGGGACCCGGCTTTCTCCTTCCAGTGGTGTTAGGAGGTAAAGGGGACTGGCCTGAGCTTGGGAGCCTGGCAGGGGTCTGGCAGCTCAGAAGGCTGTAGGGGGTTCTGGGGGGTGCGCTGATGCCAGGGTTGAGCTGAAGCTTTACTTGGTGCAGGGAGACAGGCCTGGCATTGCTCAAAGAAGAGCCAGCCAGCCCTGGGGGGTCCAGTGAGGCTGGGCCAGCCACGGCCACTTCTGAGTGTGACTTCAGTGTGCCAGGGCCCCCGCGGCTGCCTGTGGCCATGGTGCAGGCCATTCTGGAAGGGAAAGGGAGCTTCTGTCCCGAGGGGCTCAGCAGCACCCACCGGCCTGAGCCCAGAGGTCCCAGGGAAGCAGCTGACAGGTAAGCAGTGAGCCCCCTCTTCTTGGGGGAGTGAGGGAATGGCATCCAAACCTCACACATGGGATCTGAGGACACCTACCACAGAAGGGGTGGACATACTCCATAGAGAGGAGCACCCCCATCCCAGCTAGCAGCCCAAGGCTAGCACAAAAGGCAGAGGAAGGCACCACGTGTGCCCCTTGGTACCCAGGATCCCCACCTGACGTTTTCCACCTGTAACCAGATTGAATCCTCATGTACCCCACCTCCTTGGGGACTTAAGGGGCAGGGGAGGGGGAAACTGTGGCCATCAGGCAGCAGTTCTTTGTCATAGGCGGTCTCTGGGCCCAGAGAGGCGCGGCCACAGCTCAGAGAGTCTGCTGCCTGCAATGCTGCTGCCAGGACCCCCTGAAAGTGTGGAGCTGGCAGGCCCCCTTGACGTAAGTACCCCTGCATCAGGGCAGGGCCTGAGACCCTGTGGGTCCAGCTCAGCTGTGGGTGAAGCCTGGAAGGGGCCCTGATACAGAGCCACCCACAGGCACCACTGGGCAGCAGCCTGCAGGGGCGTGAGTGGAGCCTGCCAGACTTGGAGATGGAGCTATCCCTGGTAAGAGAGCGTGGAAAGGGGGTGCTGATCCCAACCCTTTTGTTTGTGGCTGTTCTCTCTCTTCCCTGGTTTTCCTCAGCCACCCTTCATCCCAGCTGCTTCTTGGGGGTTCTCCCAAACAGATGCAGCCCTTGGTTCCAGAGGGGGGTGAGACTGAGTTGGCAGTCAAAGAGTTAAACTCCTCAGGCCAAGGTAAAGACCTAGACTCAGGGCCTGAACTATGGGCTGGGCCATGCATTTGTGTTTTGTGGGGAGGGGCAGAGTTGGGGAGGTTGAGCGTGGGGTTCCATCCTAACCTCCCAGAGGATGAGGCTCTGAGGCAAGGACTCCCCCTCTCCTACTAGCCAGCATTGCCGCACTTGGGTCACCACGCCTGCTGGACGCCCAGTCGGCTTTGGGAAGCCCACTCCTCGGCCTGCCCGGAGCTTTAGCCCTGTGCCACCGCCCGGAGAGCCAGGCGGAGTCCTACTTGGGCTCCGGTGCCAACCCCTCAGGCTGAGACCAGCTCCAGGGGGCACACCAGCTGCCGCCCCCACCTCGGTTTTCTGGCGCCCCCTGGCGGAAGTTGAGCGAAGGTCCTGCTGCTTGGTTCCCCTCTCTTACCAATGCTCATAAACTGCATTTCTCCACCCTGTTTTGGTTTATATTCATTCTTTCTTTTTTGGAGGGGAGGGGTTTTGGGGGGAATATGTGGCCACACCCAGCAGTGCTCAGGGGCTATTGATGGCTCTGTGCCCCCGGGGTCACCATAGACGGTGCATGAGATCTAACCTGGGTCCGCCTGGTGCTAGGCAAATGCCTTACCCCTAAAATTTCTCTGCCCGGGATGGAGCAATAGCACAACGGGTAGGGCGTTTGCCTTGCACGTGTCCGACCCGGGTCCGATTCCCAGCATCCCATATAGTCCCCCAAACACCGCCAGGAGTAATTCCTGAATGCAGAGCCAGGAGTAACCCCTGAGCATTGCTGGGTGTGACCCAAAAAGCAAAAAAACAAAATAAAATTTCTCTGCCCACCAGAGAGCACGGGGAACCAGGGATTTTACACTCGAGAAGCATCGTGTCTAGAACCACTTCCCCAAGGATGGCGGTGCCTGGGGAGCCTGCGCCTGCTCCCTATCTTCTGTCCCCAGATTCAGGGTTGGCAGTGACCACTGCGGCCTCCGGGAGCGGGGATTTCTGGGTCACATCTAGCTCCGTCACGCGTAGCCGGGCTCCCTGTTTGAACCTGAGCCGAGACTGGCAGCCTGGGACCGAAAGCGCCTGGGAACGGCCAGGCCCTTAACGGGCGCGGGGGCCCCGGGACCGCTGACCAGCGCGGGTGGGGGGGGGTGCGGGTCACGTGCACGAACCCGGGCTGCGCGCGGCCTCGGCCCGGCGTCCCGAATGGAATGCCCCCCAGACTACCTCCCCACCCGCTCCGGGTTCCCGGCAGCCCCGCCCCCGCCCGCTGCAGCTGCTGCCCGCACCCCACCCTGCCCAACCCTTTCTGCCTTGTCATCGCCTGCCCGCCCGAGCCCGGCCGCTGAGCGGTGCTGCCCGGAGCGCACGGAACCCCGAGACCCGACCCACCCACCGCTAGGGTGGGGGACAGAAACTTGAGCCCAAGCAGCCCCGCCCCCCCGCAGCGCTCCGGAGAGACTGCGTGGAGGGGAGGTAAGAGCAGCACGCGCGCACCCCTCACCCCTCCCTGACCACAGAGCCCTCCCAGAGGGGAAGAAAGGGAAGGGAGGGCTCTCGCCGCCCCCCACCCCCCGCTCCGATTCACGCCTAGAGCCACCAGGACGGATTGTGACAGCACTCCGGGATCTACTTTTTGTTTGGGGGGCACACCCTGCGGTGCTCAGGGGTTACTCGGGGCGGGGCTCTGGGGTGCCGGGAATGGAACCTGGGTCAGCCACGTGCAACGCAAGCACCGTACTGCTTCGCTTTGGCTCCCACCCGCCCACCACCACCGCCACTACCTCACACACAAGTGTCGGCTTCCGAGCTTGCAGTCTGGGGGGTAACAGCAGCTGAGGCCACTGCACGGTGGACAAGAGGAAGGGCAGGACCCAGGATCATGGAATAAGGAGTCTAACATGGGCAGCCCGGAGGAGGGACCAATCCAGCCCACCCTTTTTCTTCCTGCCCCTGGAGAGAGACTGTACCTCTCACCTGGGACTTCCGACCCCGGGGTTGGTGGGGTGGGGGAGCTCAGCTGAAGAGCACTGAGGGTCCATTGCAGTTCAGCGGTGTCAGGATGCTGAAGAGGGTCTGTGCTGTGCACTAGGGTAACAGGAGGGGTCATTCTGCCTTGGGTACCCTCTAGGCAGTGGAGAACATGAAGACGCTGGAGTCTGGGAGGTGGGACAGAAGGGAAGGGAATTCCAGGCTCAAGGAACAGCAGATGAGAAGGTTTAGAAGCACCAGGGGCTTGGCAAGATAGAGTGCTGGTGCCAAACGGGGAAGCCTGGCTACTTGGGGCCAGGGGTCACCGGAGCAGTGTGGGCAGTTCCCTTGGGCAGGATGGCTCAGAAGGCTGTGGGAGTTGAAGTTCTTCCTGGCAGGAGACCCCTCTGTACTTGAGTCTGGTCCCATTCTCTGAATGGGCTCCTTGTGGAGATACCCACACTTAATCCCAGAGGCAACCGAGCCCAGCACTGGCGGGGACAGCAGGATGGAGTGAGGTGCTCAGAGATTCCAAGGAATGAGAGACCCAGAAGTTGTGAGGGGGTGGCACTTGGCACACATGGGGTACAAGGGACAGAGAGGAGCAGGGGTAGGTATGACCCTTCTCTGTTCAGCATCTCAGGGGATGGGGGGCTGACCCCTCCATATGACCAAGAGGGGTGAAGTGACAGGGGCATAGCATGGCATAGCATAGCATGGTGAGAGGGACCTGGAGGCAGGATGGGGGCAAGGCCAACTTCTCTCTGCCAGACCTAGAACCTGTTGAGGGGCTGAGGGATCCCAAAGTCATTCTGTGAACAGAAGGGATCTGGAGTGACCTCTCTGCTTCTGATGTCGGGTGCTTGCTTTCTGGTCAGGCCACTTCAGCAAGGAGCCGTCATCCTTCCTTGGCAAAAAATGGACAGCGCAAATAAGAGTTGGCCTCAAACCTTCTAGTCCAGAGAGTCTCTCAAAATGGGAGGCTCCACGGAGGGAGACTGGAAAAGTTCAGCGTGTGTGGGCAGCGCTGCTGAGTTGGCCTACAGGTGTCCCCCAAGATGGTTGAGTCAGCCAGGGAACAGGACACAGGTGTGACCCAGGTAATGTCAGCAGAGGCTGCTCAGAGCCAGGCCTGGAGAATCCCTCTGGCCCTGTTCAGGAGCCAGGGAAGGGCAGGGGACCTGGAGGGAGCGGGGTGGGAAGGAGACAGACTCCCCCCAACAGGTGAACTCCCTGCATGGAGACTGTGCTCTGGGCACAGAGGGGGTTCAGGGCTCTGTGGGGGAGAGGCTAGAAGTGAAAGCCTGAAATTAGAAAGTGAGGACCAGGCAGCAATGGTACAGCAGGTAGGGTATTTGCCTTGCACAAGGCCAGCCTGGGCTCAATCCCCAGCATCCAATATGATCCCCTGAGCCCCACAGAAGTAATTCTTGAGTGTAGAGCCAGTAGTTACCCCTGAGATCGCTGGGTATGACCCCCAAATCAAACCAAAAAAGAAGTGGAGCTGGTGGGGCCAATTCAATAGTACAAAGGGCAAGGTGTTTGCCTTGTACGCTGCTCGCATGGGTTCAATCCCAGACCACCATGGGCTCGGGGGACCATCTAGGAGTGATCCCTGAGTGCAGAGCCAGGACTAAGCCCTGAGCACAGCTGGGTGCTGGCCCAAAGGAGCAAACTAAATAAAGAGGTGAGGATGACAGAGAATTCCAGATCACTTAGGTCTTGCTACCCCTTAAGGTGAGGAAGTGGGTTGGGGGCAATATAAGCGGATAAAGTGGGGCTGGACCGATGGCATGAAGTGGCACGCTTGGCAAGACCGGCAGACAGCCAGGCTCTGGAAGGCAGCCCGGTCCGGGAGGCGGAGTCAAAGAGTAGAGGAGGGTGCTTGGGGCGCAGGGAGAGGAGAGAAGAGCCACCGCTGACATTTAGGAAAGGAATTGAGACGACCCTATAGAAGCGACCAGAAAGGCCGAGTCCCGGGAGCTGCGCACTCGCAGAGAGAAATCAAAGGCAGGGGCGTCCCGGCACCCACGACCTCTCTTCCCTCCTCGCAGGCAAGCACCATGGGGAACGCGCAGGAGCGACCTTCAGAGACCATCGACCGCGAGCGGAAGCGCCTGGTGGAGACGCTACAGGCCGACTCGGGGCTGCTGCTGGATGCGCTGCTGGCGCGGGGCGTGCTCACGGGGCCCGAGTACGAGTCGCTGGACGCGCTGCCCGATGCCGAGCGCCGGGTGCGCCGCCTGCTGCTAGTGGTGCAGAGCAAGGGCGAGGCCGCCTGCCAGGAGCTGCTGCGCTGCGCCCAGCGCACCGTGCGCGCGCCCGACCCCACCTGGGACTGGCAGCACGTGGGCCCCGGTGAGCGCGCGCGGGGCGGGGCGGGGGAGTCGGGCCGCCGCGGGGGGCGTCTCCGCCGCGGCAAGGGGTGGGTGGGGTGTGTAGACGATCCCGCAGTAGGGTAAAAGGCGTCTCTCCTCCCCAGGGTACCGCGACCGCTACTACGATCCTCCATGCCCAGGGCACCCGACTCCCGCATGCCCTGGGCTGCCCCGAGCGTCCGACAATGATGGGACGCGGGGACCTGAGGGCCCCGAGGCAGGGATATCGGGAACCGTCGGGGAGCCGGAGCGGGAAGCTGAGACACTTGACGGGATTGAGCCGGAGTCGGAATCTCAAACGGATCAGGATCTGGAGCCGGAACCCGAAGAGTCAGAGCCGGCACAAGAGCCAGAAGCCGAACCGGAGCCGGAACCTGAAGAGCCCGAGCCCGAGCCGGAGCCGGAACCCGAAGAGCCTGAGCCAGAGCCGGAGCCGGAGCCGGAGCCGGAGCCCGAGCCCGAGCCCGAGCCCGAGCCAGACTATTCCGAGCCAGACTACGGGGCTGGGGATGAGTCAGAAGGTATGAGACAACCTCAATGCCTAGCCGGTTGGAGGAAGGGTGTGGTTTGGGGGGCACCTAATTCATCGCTCCCCTCCCATTCTCTCTAGATTCCTGAATGCCTCCGTGCTGCCCGGCCTGGACTCCAACGAGGCCTTATCTGCCCAGGGCCGCTGGATGGAAACTCACTCCCGAGGGACCACTTGGCTCTGCCCAAGAACTCCAGTGTGACCTGGGCAGCCGTGTGCCCCCTGCCCCATTCTCAGCTCCAAATTGTCCACAACATATTGGGATCCCAGCCCCAAGCCCCCGTAGGACAAGAGTCTGCCTCCTGCAGCCTCCTCCATGGCCCTTTCCTCCCTCATGGCCTTTCGGGGGCCTGGCACCGAGAGCGAGGAAATGGACCCCTCCCTCCCACATCGGGAGGCCTGGAGCTCATCCCCTGGAAGTGAATCTAGGAGAGGGCTCCATGGTGAGGCACATGCCTTGCAAGTGTGAGAGGCTCTGGGTGGGGCGGGGGGGAATGGAGGAGGAGGGAGGATCTTAGGGGAGCCGAGCACACACACATCACTGTAACCTATTTTAATTGACTGGCTTCTCTTGGGACAGAGCTCGGGGAGGGTTCTGACCGGTACATATACATTCGCTAAATGAGTAAGGACTTTCCAGCCGTGTTTCTGTTTCTGGTTTTGGGCCACCTGGTGGGGAACTAAGGCCCAGGGTGGGAACGAGATTCGGACAAGACACACAACTGAGTTGGTGGACAGGACATGTCACCCATCTCTGCCCCTCCTGTCTTAGAGGGATGAACTTGGGACCTGGAGTGAGAAGGGCCCTGCCCCTCAGGCTGACTGTGTCTACTGCCGCCCCATGCCCAGCAGTCAGAGGGCATGAGCCAAGACAGGAGCAGAGAGGCCACTGCAGGGGTGAGGGTGTCAGGCGGGCGAGGACTCACAGGGTGGAAAGGACTTGTGTGTGTGTGTGTGTGTGTGTGTGTCTGTGTGTGTGTGTAAGAGTGCTAGAGAGGGAGCAGGGAGAGGAAGTGGTGAGGGAAAAGAGAGTTGAGGGGGAAAGATGGGTGAGAGTCGGGCCTGGAACAGACTGGCTTAGAGAGGGGGACCTGCTCCCTCTACCAGACCAGAGGGGCTGGGGCATGGAAGCGGGGACAGATGCACGAACAGGGGCAGGAGAGAACAGCTTAGATCCTGCCCTTGCTCCCTGTGACAGCCAACACCGCTGTCTCAGGCAATCACCCCAGGAGAAGGGAGACACCCCCCCACCTCCACAGGACCCAGTGAGAGGTAGACAGCGTGAAAGCTGGAGGAGCACCGAGGGGCCGGGTGGGGGAAGGGAGAGAACATGGAATGAAGAGAAGACGTCCAAGGGCACATCATGCAAGGACAAGTTTCTACTCCCACCCCCGCCCCCATCCATGCAGTTTCTGCCTCCTCCAGAGCACAGGAGCAGGCAGGAGGCAGGAGGGCGGGCAGCCTGCACTGCTGCTGAAGGGCTTTCGGGAGGCTGGGGGTCGGGGCAGGGGGACACAGAGCCCCTGAGGTTGCTGCTCCTCCTCCTTCCTGGATGCTCCTGCTCTTCCAAGTCCCCCGAGAAACACTCAGATCATGGAAGCACGCAGCTGTCATGTTCTGGACGGACCCGAGGGCCCCGGGTCCGGGGTCTCCCGCAGCCTCAGTCAGGCAGCAGACGGCCCAGCTCTGCCTCGTCCAGCCGGTTAGTGGCCATGATGTGCTCCAGCTGCTGCCGGTAGCGCGCCAAGTCCTGCATGAAGTGGGGCACCCGGGTCTTTTCCAAAACCCCATGGGGCCGCAGGTGGTCTATATCCTCATAGGATACCTGCAGGGAGAAGGGAGAGCCTCAGGAACAGGAAGCGAACCCAGCTTTAGGCAGCTGCGGCCTGGAAAGGTTGGTCTCTCCTACAGCCTGGCACCCACAGGGCCTTCATCTCCAAACCTGGGGTCCCGCTGCCTCTTGCTTACCTACCCCTGCGCAGGCCCCTGGGCCATCACCCCACTTTGCCAAGCCCACCCTCAGTCCCCACCATCAGATCCTGTCAGCCTCCTGTCAGGTTGAGTTGAAGTGATTCTCTCTGTTTTGTTTTGTTTTTTTGCTTTTTGGGTCACACCCAGCGGAGCTCAGGGGTTACTCCTGGCTTTGCACTCAGGAATTACTCCTGCTGGTGTTCGGGGGACCATATTGGATGCTGGGATTCAAACCCAGGTCGGCCACGTGCAAGGCAAACGCCCTACCCGCTGTGCTATCACTCCAGCCCCAAGTGATTCTCTCTGAAGCTTTCCCAGGCCCCGGGCCACCGTCAGCTGTGCAGGACTAACTATCCGAACCTCTCCCAAGGTCCCTTCCTAGACTATCTCCCCCTTCCCACCTCCTGTGACATCTGTGGATGGGTCGTGGTTTGGGTTTGGGTTTGGTTTTGGGGGAGGCTATGCAGTGCCAGGGACAGCCTGGGGTGCTGGGAGCTGTGCAATGTCCCGTCCACTCCTCTCATCCTTCCATTCCTGCTTTCTCCACATGTGCTTGGCTTCCTCGGCATGGCACAAAGGCCCCCAAATGTCTCCAAGCTTTCCCGAGTGCCCCCTGATGAGGAAAGCGCCCCTCGTCGGAGCATGGACAGCACACACTCACCCTGCGTGCGGGCTCAGGCGCGTATTTCTGGTTTTATTTCTCGTCCACACCAGGAGGTACTCAGGGTTTACTCCTAACTCTGTTCTGAGCGAGCACTCCCGGCAGTGCTCGGGGACCATATGAGGTACCTGGGATTGAACTGGAGTTGACCTGAGTGCAAGGAAAGTGCCTAAACCCTCATATGTCCCTTTGCCCTCTAGTTTACTTACAGTTTTCTCGCACTGCCTCTCATCAGGCACCTAGGTCGGCCTGCCAGCCTCCCCACTGGAAGGACATGGCCTCCGGGAGCTCTGAGGAGCATTACTCAGAAGTTCAGGGAGCACAGGGTGGAGGGGAAGGCCGCGAACCCTCACCTTGCCCAGCGAGGTCAGCATTGGGAAGTCGATGGTCTGGCGGTGCCTCAGAATGCGCACGATGCCGTCCAGGTACACCTGGTCCTTGCTGAAGCAGCCTGTGGGCAAGGGAGCACGGTGAGCTGAGTCCATTCCAGCCCAGACCCTGTGCTGCCAAACCTTAACCCCCCCATCCTCCCCTCCATGCTTGGGGTCCCGCCGGGGCGCCCACCGGGCTGCGAGGTGTCCGTCTGGCCGCGCTTGGCCCGCACGCAGTATTCCCAGCGCACGTCGGCGTCCTGCACGTAGCGCGCCAGGTCTTGGAAGAGTTGGCGGAAAGACATGGCAGCGGCGCGGTGGATGGTGTAGTAGAGCAGCGCGGCGCGCCACAGGAACGGGTGCTTGCGGAACAGCACGCTGTGCAGGCTGGCCAGGCCCTCCTCTGTGGGGTTGGCGGGCCGCAGCCCATACTGCAGCCGGCCCTCGGCGCTGCGCCACGGCTGGCGCGCGTTGTTCACGCCCCGCAGATAGTGTGTGCCTGGTGATGGGGGGAGAAGGCGGGACAGAGGGAGGCAGCGCTGGGCAGGGTGGCCCCGGGGTTCCTGGCTTGCCCAGGGCGCTGGACTTTCCCTGGCTGGCACTCAGGCTCTCATGAAACAAATGCAAACACATCCAGGGCCTGGAGATGTGGGGACCCTCCTTGGCTGAAGTCCCAGAGGCTCATGTGTAAGAACTTCTCACCCATCCTGGATCACCCCACCCCATCCCACCCCCGTCAAAAAAAAAAAACCCTCACATTGACCCCCAACTTGTCCAGAGTTACACTCCCATATTTGGACGGTCAAGCACAATCATCTTTTGCACTAAGCAACAGGATTCTTGAGGAGGAGACAAAGGAATGGTAACTGGTGCTTAGTGCCCTCCACCAGCTGGGCCTTCTCCCAAAAAGCCAATTCCAGTCTCAGGATCTAGCTTTCTAGTCACCCCCAAGGGCCCACAGGCGGCAGCCTTAGTGGGACCGGTCGCAGCCTTGTCCCCACTGTCAGCAGAAGTTAGAGAGGAAGTGAAGGAGGAAAAGAGCGTGGGAAGGAGCTAGAGGTGAATGTGAGCCCACAAGTTAGCGAGCATGATCCAGAGGGAGGATGGAGCTGATCACCAAGGGAACGGGCTGGCCCCCCTCCCTCAGGGGGACGGGGAGACAGAGATAGGCTGGGGGCTACTGCTACTGGGATCCCTCTCTTCCCCCCTACCCCAGGCCCCCTTTATCCCTACCCACCCAGCGCCCACTCACGTGCTGACCTATCTCATGCCGAAGCATGCCCTCTAGCCAGTACTGGCGGGCTCCGCTGAGGTTGATGGCCAGTGTGGGTCGGCTGTTCTCCACCATCATCACGGCCTGAGACAGCAGGTCCTCACTCAGCTGCACCACGACCTGCCGGGCAGAAGCACCCCCACCCCGGGGGTCAGTGTCTAGGTGGGCCCACGAATGCCATAGGGCAACTAGGCCAAGGCCCCGGCCAGGCCACCCACCCCGCCTCCCTTCATCAATCAGCTCTACTCTGAGCCAGGGCCAGAGCCTGCATGGCCCAGGCCTGTGACTATCCACCTTGGAAGGGGCACGGAGCAGACAGGCCGTGCAGGAAGGCGGGCAGGCTCACCTCTCCGGCGCAGCCTTCCTTCTGCATGTATTTGCGTGCGATGGACCAGATCTGGCACTTGGTCAGCAGCTGGCCCCCGGTGACAGCCTCAAATTGTTCATAGGTGCCAAACTTCTCCAGGACGGCCTCAATGATGCCAACTGCCTGCACACAGGGCCGCAGTGGCTGGTGAGGGCCGGGCCTCTTGGGTGGTGAGAGCCAGGGCAAAGTGGGCAGGCTGGACTGACCTGGTGGATGAACTGTCCCGACGCAGCACAGTATTTCTCCAGCACGGCCGTGGGCAAGGGCTCCTGGTACTTGAACTGCGGGTTGTAGGTGTAATGGGACTGGAAGAACTTGAGCCGCTCATCGTCCATGTTGGTTGGCCGCAAGGCCACCAACATGCAGGGGCTCTTGCTGGTCCAACTCTTGCTGGCTTCCTTTCGCGTCTTAGCAATGTGAGGCAAGGAGGATGCGGGCCGCAGGGTGCCCCTGCCTGGATCCAGTCCCCGTTTAGGTGTGGCCCGACCGTGGCTGCTGTGGCCCCGGTGGCCGGTACTGTTTATCGTGCAGGTGCTCTCGCTGCGATGCATGTGACTACGGCGGGCCACACGCAGCTCCGAGAAGGGCTGTGGCTCAGACTCGCAGTGCAGGCCAGAGGGGACTGACAGGGCCAGAGGCAAGGCCAGGGACCGAGGCCAGGGATACAGCGGAGTCCCATCGCGATCTGCAGGCTTCAGCCTACGGCCCAGGGACGAGGGGCTGGCTGGCAGACTGGGCGGTGCCTGTTCATACACCTGCGTCCCTGAGTCCAGCACCATTCTGTCCCGGGAATCACATTCGGCGGGGTCACGCCAACTCCTCACACTGCTGGCTTCTGGGGACACAGAAGGGTACGTGGAGGCCAGTGTGATTGGGAGTGGTCTAAGGAACACAGCCCCTTTGGGGTCCTTTCTGGGCCCAGGGACTGCCACGAGGGAGGTGTAGGTGACTGCCCCATCCCAACTCCATTCCCTGCAGCAAGTTCAACCAAGTAGGCAGTGAAGAATGAAAGAACAAGAGAAAGGACTTTTGGGCCAGAGCGATAGCACAGTGAGGAGGGTGTCTGCCTTGCATGTGGCTGATCCAGGTTTGATCCCCCTCATCCCATATGGTCTCCTGAGCACCACCAGGAGTAACCCCTGAACATCACGGGGTCATTGTCACTGTCCTCCCATTGTTCATTGATTTGCTCGAGCGGGACCAGTAACATTGTGAGACTTGTTACTGTGTTTGGCATATCGAATACATCACGGGTAGCTTGCCAGGCTTTGCCATGCGGGCGAGATATTCTCGGTAGCTTGCCGGGCTCTCTGAGAGGGGTGGAGGAATCGAATTCCGGTCGGCCGTGTTGGCTGTGTGCAAGGCAAATGCCCTACCTGCTCCAGCCTGGGTTGTGGCCCAAAAATAAATAAAATAAGGTAAAGGTCCTCCCGTTGTTCGTCGGTTTGCTCGAGCGGGCCCAGTAACGTCTCCATTGGAGACTTTGTTGTTACTGTGTCTGGCATATCGAATACGTCACGGGGAGCTTGCCAGGCTCTGCCGTGCGTGCGAGATACTCTCGGTAGCTTGCTGGGCTCTCCGAGAGGGGCGGAGGAATCGAACTCAGGAGGGCCATGTTGGCTGCGTGCAAGGCAAATGCCCTACCTCTGTGCTATCGCTCCAGCCTCAACAGAGAAAAAGTCTTACCCATTACTTAGATAATATTTAAGAGCTTAAGACCCTCAGATGCTCTAGTGATACTTACTGTGCCTAGGCTGGGAGCTGGTACAGGGTAGTTTCAACTGCCCGAAAAACTTATCACCTCCTTTTACCTCCTTCTTTCTTGTTGTGGGGACCACACCCAGGTCAGGGCTTATCTCTGGTTCTACACTCAGGGGTCACTCTTAGTAGGTGTGGCTGACCATTTGGGGTACTGGGGATTGAACTCAGGTCAGCTGCATGCAGGGTAAAGCACTTTACCTGCTGTACGAACTCTCTGGCCCCTCTGGCATTTACTCAGCACCACCCACTTCATAAGCCCATTTTGCTTCAGAAGTTTGCTATAAAAAGTTAAAAGCTGGGGCTGAAGCAATAGTACAGCAAGGAAGGTGCTTGTTTTGCATGTGGCCAACCCAGGTTCGATCCCTGTCACCATCTATGGTCTACTGAGCCCTGTGCTAGGAGTGATCACAGAATGCAGAGCCAGGAGTAAGCCCTGAGCACCACCAGGTGCAGCCCCCAAAAACAAATAAATAAAATTAAAAGTGAAAGGATCATTCTATCAGAAAAGCAACCAGAGCAACTTCGCTCAGCCTGAATAGTTAGTCCCTGCCCCCGCAGGGGTGCTCTCTCCTTTAGGACATTTGTTCAAATCCAAACCAGAACCAACTTCCCGGGAACAGAGGGAAGCTTTGGCGAATCCAAGCCAGCCCCTGGCCCTGGCCCGTGCCTTGAACATCTTCCCAGGTGTCATTTAAGGCTGTATCAGGGCTGTATCAATAGGGCATTTGCCTTGTACATGGCCAACCTGAGTTCTAATCCTCAGCATCCCATACGGTCCACCAAGCACTGTCTGGAGTAATTCCTGAGTGCAGAGCCAGGAGTAACCTCTGAGCATCACTGGGTGTGACCCAAAAAGAAAAAAAAAAGCTGTATCAGCACTCCAGTACCCACTGCCCCCATACCTGGGCTCAGTCCAACCCAGTCTCTCCCCAGAGACTGACCAACGGCTCCAGTTGCCCAGTGACAAAACTGCAGCATTTCTCTTCTCCTACCTCTCCTGCATCCTCAGCCTCTTCCTCTCTACTAGATTCTTTCCATCAGCAGAAACACAAGCTGTTACCATCTGTCTCAAAAACAAAACAAAACCTTCACTGGGTCTCTCATCCATGAGGACATCTTGTATCTCCCTCCATTTACCCCTCATTGAAGTACCTTGAGTTGGCTATAGTCAGGCTCCAGGCTTCCTTTTCTGTTTTGTTTTGTTTTGTTTTGGGCCCACACCCTGCAATGTTCAGGGGACTTTAGGGGATGCCAGGATTGACTCAGGTTGGCCAGTGTTCTACCTGCTGTACTATCAATCTGACCCCTCTAATTCCTTCCTTGCATGGATTTGCTGCTGCTGTTTTTGGTTTGTCCTGCTGGGAATCAAACCCAGGGCCTTACATCTGCAAGGCTAATGCCCTACTGCGGAGCCACATCCCCAGCCTCCCATGGGCCTCACCCACAGGTGCTCAGGGTTTACTCCTGGTTCTGTGCTAAGAAATTACTCCTCATGGGGCTCGGGGGACTATATGGGATGCTGGAGATCAAACTTAGGTCAGCTGTGTGCAAAGCAAGCACCTTCCCTGCTGGACCCTCAGTCTGGTCCCTCCCATTCTCTTTGAAGTTTCAGTCCACTCCTTCCTTGGAGGGAGCGGAGCGTGTATCCACAGCAACTGAACTCACCAAGGTCACCAGTGATCTTCATACCAATCAACAAGTGACAGTAATCACTCCATTCTGAAACATGTTCATGTGACTCCCCAAATTCCCTGGAATTTAGTTCTGCCCTCACTGGCTATTTGCCCTTGGTCTTCCTTTCTGGTCTTCTCTAGCTCCCTTACTCAATGCTTCACAGATTGGAAACCATTTTTATCCAATCACACTTACTTCCTGAGGATCTCCATCCACTCTCATGGCTTTAAAACACATCATCCCAGGGCTGGAGCGATAGCACAGCGGGTAGAGCGTTTGCCTTGCACACGGCCTACCCAGGTTCGATTCCCAGCATCCCATATGGTCCCCTGAGCACCGCCAGGAGTAATTCCTTAGTGTAGAGCCAGAAGAGTAACCCCTGTGCATTGCCAGGTGTGACCCAAAAAGCAAAAAAAAAAAAAAAAATCATCCCAGACTTATGGGCCAGACAGTATAGTGGGTAAAAAGCTTGCCTTGCACATGACTCACCAAGGTTTAATTCCCAGCACCCCAAATGGTCCCCCAAGCCCTTGAGGTGTGATCTCTGAACACAGAGCCAGTAGTAATCCCTAACAACTGCTGGGGGTGGCCCCAAAAAAACACAAAAATAAATAAAATAAAATACAACATCCCAGACTTAGACCACAAACTTCAGACCAGTGTTGCTAGTTTTCAATTTAGCATATTTATTTGAATCCTATTACAAGCATCTCACACTGAACATTTACCTGTGTTTGGAATCCCCTTCCCACCATGTAACTGCTGGGGTTACTCACTTCCCTTAGGTCTCTGCATAAACATGCTAACAGAAAAGCTGTCCCAAGGTCTGAAGAAATAGTACACCAGGTAAGTAAGGTACTTTCCTTGTATGTGGCAGACCTGGGTTGAATCCCAGATACCCCATGCGGCCCCCCAAGCACCGCCAGGAGTGATCCCTGAAGACAGAGCAAAGACTAAGTCCTAAGTAGCACCAAGTGTGGCCCCCCAAAAAAAACAAAAGAAAGGAAGGAAGGAAGGAAGAAAGAAAGAAAGAAAAAGGAAAGGAGAAAGGAGAAACAGAAAAGCTGTCCCTAAGCACGTATAAAGGAGTAAATCTGCTCTCCTTTGTCTACCGCGATCTCCCCTTCCCCCCACTATTGTTCTCTGTTCACTTAGTACCATAGATAATTATGTTTGCTCCTTTTAAGCATTCAGAGCATTGTCCCCGGAATGGTACCTGATCTAGAGCAGTTACTCAGCAAATAAGAAATCCAAAATCCCTTCTCTTTGTCAGCAGAGAATCATTCCTTCCCTGCAGTTTCTCCATTTAGATCCCCACCCACCTCCCCTCTAAGCCTCCTTCCACCCTGCCTCGTGAACAGCTGCTTGGAAAGATTTCAGGCCTCAGAATTTACTCCTTTCAATTAACTAGACACTCTTCTGGACTCCACCGGTTTCTGGGCCTCCACCAGTCCCCTGCTTTCATTTGGACTATTGCTTTGAAATTTTCAGGATACGCCTGTTTCTTTCATGTCTCAGCCCTTACCAAGAACACCCTCCCAAAATCTCCCTGGAGCAAATTCCTAAGCATTCTTCAGGGCTCCTGTAGGCCTCACCTCCTGGGGAAGCCTCCCCAGCCGTCTTAACGGGTCCCAAAGGTTAGGCGACTTCTTTGCCAGCTAGGATGACACTGTGGCGCATAAGTCCGAGTACCCCTAACGTCCCCTGAACTTCCCGAGGGCAGGGACGGTTTTAATTCACCCCATTTCTCAAACATCCAGCAGCACTGGATGCAGAATGAATGAAAGAGGCTGGGGGGAGGAGCCCAGGATGAAGGCGGAGTCCGGTGACAAATGAGAGGGTGTGGCCCACGCCAATAAGAAACTTCAGGAGATAACGTGGCAGACAAGCCAATGGGGACGGGGAGCTCCAGGAGGGGCGTGACCTGTAGCCAATAGGGTTCGGGGAATGAGGTGTGGGCGTGCCCAATGGAGGGCGGGGCCACAGGACAATGGAAGTGGGGTACCCAGGCAGAGGAGAAGGGACCCCCCCAACATAAGCCTTCTTTTCGGATCTCTCGGGGTGAGGGAATTCTGTCCGCGTTGCGCACCCCACCTGTTCGCTCCTGTTTTCGCCGCCGCCGTTTCCGCTCCGCAACACAGGTCTCTGGCAGCCCGGGCCGCGGGAGCCACCACTGGTGACGCACGCACCCGGGCGCGCGCACGTTCCCACGGAGCCGCGCGCTGAAGCATCCAGCTTGGCGGCCACGCGCGCCGGAGAAGAGAGCTGAGGGTCGGACCAGGCAGCTGGGGCTGCATCCGCCCCCGGGGCCCGCCTCTGGGCGGGGCGTAGTCTTAGCCCCGCCTCCTCCCCAAGGCCTGCCGGGTTTCAGCTGTTCAAGCACAGTGGAGGCGGGCACCAAGCCACGGTTGCTGCGTGTTGGGTATTTGAGTACGCTGTGCACTGTGAGGGCTCATGCCGGGAGAGGTGGGGGACAGCCAGCATACCTTAGGCGTGCTGCTCATTGACTCTCAAACAGTGGACTCTTTGATTTCATCTGCCAGTCCCCCAATACACACATACACACACTCATCAAGCATATGCGGGCCAGGACTTTATTACGCTGGCGGCCGGGAATCAGGCACAGGGCCCCGACGGGAGGCAGGAGGACAGAGCGGGTGTCGGTGCTGGCACCAGGCTGAAGAGGGCGCGGCGACCGGCGCGGGGTGAGGGTTGCGGGCCGACATGCAGGGAGCTGAGTGCGGCCAGGCGCTGATCGCGGGACACGTCCCCGCGCAGGTCCAAGAGGGCAGAGATGTGATCCTCACTATGAGTCCACCAGGGAAGGGGCGTCAGACCCGCCGCGCCTTGCCGGGACCCCTCCTCTCTCACCGTCCCCCAGCTGCGCACCTCACGTCCGGGAATTGTTGCCGCAGGCCTGCTACCTCGAGGCCAAGCAGCGTGGGGTCTCGGAGGTTCAGGAGCTCCCGCAAGGCCAGCAGCACAGGCACGCATTGAACGTTGCCCTCCAAACCCTGTACATGTCCGGAAGTTCTCTCGCGACCCTCACCCACCCACCGAGACTCCCACCCCTGCACTCCTCCCAGGAGCTCACCAAACCCAAGAAAAGATCTCGAAGGTGGGCAGCGTCTTGCCGCAGGCGCTCGGCCGCCTGGGTTCGCTCCTCGGCACTGCGGCACACTAGTCGACCCTGCATGAGGGCGCGCAGGTACTGCAGCACCACAGTCCGCTCCACCTCGGCCAGCAGCAGCTGCGCAGGAGGCGATCAGCAGAGTCCAGGAGATCTTTCCCTTTAGGCGCTACCTCTCCCCGCCCTTGCCCGCCTAGCGCACCTGGACAACGGGGTTCCGCACTCGCCAGAAGTCGCGGGAAAAACGTTTGGTCCGCTCACAAACTTCCTCCAGCAGTTCCGAACTCGACAGCCACCGGCGCGATGGCAGAGCCGCGAACAGGGGCTGGGGAAGGGAGTAGAGACAGGCCTGAAGGGGTGACCCAGACCCGAGTTCCTGGCAGAGATCCCCATACAGACGGTCTCACCTCCCCTCAGCACGCCGAGCCTCACCTGGAGTTCTGCCAGCAGTGCTTCCAACACGAGACGGCAGATCCTCCTGTGCAGCTCGTCCAGCGCTGCCTCGGCCGGAGTCAAGGCCCCCGAAGCCAAGCTGTCCAGCTGCAGGACGGACACCGAAGAGCTGGACCCAGCAAAAAAATGTACGGCTTCAGGACCAAGGCCAAGGCCCGCACGGTCCGCTGTGGGTCAGCCACTCTGGCGCCACCTTGTGGCGCCACGGGTCGGGTAGGGGTGGGCAAGACCGTGACTGCAGCAGGTCGGGGTGAGGAAGGGAGTGAGGCACAACCAGCCCGTGTGCAGTGTAACCTTGACAAGGGATGTTTTTCGCTTTCTATTTCCTCATTGGTAAGCAGAAAGAGTTAATCCTGGTCATGTGGGAGTAAAAATCATCCCATTTGTCTGACTTCTCTCCTCACTTCAAAACTCAAATCCTTGGCAAATTGCTGACCGCAGGCTTTGCAACCCCAAGGCTTGAATTTCATTCCCAGCACCACACGATCCCCTGAGCAACCGCTGGGAGCGACCACCCAGCTCTGCCAGGTGTGGCCCTCAAACAAGAAAGAGACAAAATAAAAGATAGACTCTTGGGGCCAGGGAGAGAACTCAAAGGACTGCACTGCATGCTTTTCTTGGGGAAGGCTGGTTTTATTCCTGATAACCACATGGTTGGTCGCCCCTCACCCCTTGGCCCCCAGGCAAATTAAAATATAAACCATAGACCCCAAAGGAGTAAAATTTTCTGGTTTTTTTTGATAGGGTTTTTTTTTTTTTTTGGCGGGGGTTATGGGGGAAGGCCATGCCTGGCAGTACTCAGGGGTTACTCCTGGCTCTGGACTAAGGACCATATGGGGTACTGGGAATCAAACCTGGGTCAGCCGTGTGCAAAGAAAGTGCCTAACCCACTGTACTATCACTTCAGCCCCACAAATTTTGTTTTATTCACAGTTATAACCCTAATATTACCTGGGGCAGAATAGGACTTCCTTCCTTCCTTCCTTCCTTCCTTCCTTCCTTCCTCCCTCCCTCCCTCCCTCCCTCCCTCCCTTCCTTCCTTCCTTTTGGCCATACCCTAAGATGCTCAGGAGTTACTCTGGGCTCTGCACTCAGGATTTACTCCTGGTGGTTCTTGGGGACGATATGAGATGCCAGGGATCGAACCCAGATGGTAACATGCAAGGCAGATACCTACCAATGTACTATTGCTCCGCCCCAGACTTAATTTTTGGTATACGCTAAACGAATGGGTCCTCAGCATGGCCCATTGCTACTCATATAGTACAAATAAGAAAACTGATATTCAGAGAGATTAGGTAATTAGCCCAAGGTCACACAGCTAATGTGAGGTGGGAAGCCCAGCATGGTGAGAGCGAAGTCCCAGGGCCAGATCCAAATCAAGTAGGGATTTAGTGTGTGGTTAGTGAAGGGGAGGGACTTCCAGGCTTCTTGGTACCTGAGTGCTGATTGGTGGTTGAGGGCAGCCAGTAGGTAGGGCACATAATGAGGGGCCACTGTGTCCCCCCTCAAGTGGTCTCTGGAGTATCGGATCAAAGCATCACTGAAGCTGCAAAGGGCAGAGGTGGTTTTAGTGCTTGCTGCTGGGTCCCGCACCCCCAGTCCCCGATATTCCTGCCCCACCTCCAGGTCCCCCAAGACACTTCCGAAGGAGGCATGTGCCCTATTCACTCCAGGAAGAGGGAGCGAGTCAAGGCCTTGACCGACCTCCTGAGGAACGCGCCCAGCTCTGACAGTGCCATGGCATGCACGCGCCGCTGCAGTGACTCACTGACCAGGCTGGTCACACGAATGTTCTCTTCCAGGATCTGGAGGTGGGATGGGCAGCCAGCAGCAGAGAACCAGCCCTGCCCTCCCTCCCCTTTCCTGAGGGGGCTGCCCCTGGCCTCCCCGCCCACTTCCCACCCACCTGCAGCACTATTGCTGGCATAGGGGAGTGATAGAAGCCTGACGGGTCTGTGTCGGGTGCCTGCTCACGGCCCCACTCAGCTACCTCCCCATCCAGTGCTTTTTGTAGCCACTGGGCCACATTGGCCTGCAGAAGAGACACGAGGCAGTGGTTCACACAGGGAGACCGCGGAGACAGCGTCACTGCTGGGCAGAGTGGCTTGGGACCGGAACCCCGGCTACTATTCACCTGGACTTTGGTCACAAAGGTCCCCTCCAGCTGCTCGATGCTCTCCGGGCTCAGAAGGGGCTCCAGCTGAGACACGTCAGCCTCGGGCCCCAACTCCAGGCTCCCCATCATTTCTGGCCTGGAGATGGGCAACCCACTGCTACTCTGAGCTCAGACTCTAAGCGCCCCTCCCCCGCCTGACCCTGCCCGTGCCCCCCAAGGACACTGACCCCAGGTAGACACGCAGGGCCCAGTGCAGCAAGGCGAAGGCATCAGGGGCTCCCAGCTCAGGCCCCTGCAGGAGCTGCTGTAGGCTGCGGCGCAGGCCCCCGTGCAGGGTGCGGGCCCACAGTGGTACCACCCTGTAGTGTGGCGGGCAGCAGGGTGCTATCAGCGCCTCGGCTGCAGCCAGCTCGGCGGGCAGGGCCACCTGGAGGCACTCCAGCCACCCTGCCAGCGCCCCTGGCCCAGGCAGCAGGGACGTGCTGAAGTGGGTCCGCTCCAGACCCTCCTGGAGGGCCCGCAAACAGCGCAGCCGCCAGTTCCGAGGGCCCTGCCCTAGGGAGGAGCTGCGCCCTGCCTCTATCTCTGCCACACGCACGGCGGCCACCAGCAGGGCTGGATTCTCCCGGGCCAGCTGCCCTGCAGCCCCTGCCACTGCCTCCACGGCCTGGCCCAGGGCCTCCGCCAGGGGGCCAAGCCCCTCAAATACTGGCAACTCCAGGCCCCCCAAAGGGGCCCAAGTCTCCTCGCGTAGCTGCTCCAGTTCCCGTAGGCTCACGTATGCTTCTAAGAGCTGCTGGGCATCAATCAGGGTCTGCGTGTGGGCCACTGTAGCCGGCACTAAGGCAGGAGGAGAGAAAACGGAGTCTCAGTCTTCCCACCTGTGCAGTGGGTACAGCAGTGGATGCTGAGGACCTGGGGCTAGGGTGACATGTGAAATACTTCCTAACCCATAAAGAAGATGGAGCATTGGTCAATCTGAAGTGTCTGGTGGGCCAGGTGTGAGTGAACCCTAGAGCTGAAGGAAGTCAGGGGGTCCTGGGGGTTGGTTGGGGGGAGCAAGGTGGGGCAGGTGAGTCATTCACCCTGTGGTGGCACATTTCACTAAAATAACCACCGGGGAGACCAGAGCCACTGATAGGGCATCAGCCCTGACCCAGATATTTCATGCTCTGAGTCCTAGGATGAGCTGGTTTGCATCCCCTGCGTAAGTCATTTGAGGCACACGTTATTGTCTGAGAGGGTCCCTTGTGAGTCTCTTCATGCAACGTGCCTGGAGCATCCAGACCCCTTGATTGTCATGGGAGTTTGCTAACTTTGGGGGCAGGGGGCTGAGGTCCAGTGCCCTTGGCTACACTCACCCGCCCGCAGTCGGGGCAGCAGCTGAGACAGAGTCTGCAGCTGCTTGTGCTGGGCAAGCCGCTCCCGCAGGGGCTCTAGGATCCGGGCAGCGTCCATCGTGCCTTGGAGCAGCTCATGTGCCTGGCCCAGATCCTCCCGGGCTCCCTGCACAGCCTCGAGCGCCCTGGCCAACTGCCACAGCCCTGTCTTCACGCCCTCCAGGTACGACTGCACCACAGACTGCAGGAGGAACAAGCTGGAGCACGCCCTGCCCCGACACGCCTGTGCCCACCCACCCTGCCCAAGCCCACCTTGATCCGTGCTTGCAGGGAGCAGGTACGCTGCATCTCGCGGCTGCGGTACTGGCCTAGCCTGGCCAGCTGCTCCGGCCGGTAGAAGATGCCTGAGGCCCACTTGAGTGCAGCACCCCTGGCCAGCTGTTCTGCCCTCTCCTGCTCCGGCCACTCAGGCCCTGGGCAGGAAGAGCCTGGGCAGTCATATCAGTGGGACAGGGCCTCCAGGAAGCAGCTGCCGGACCTGCTCTCCTTCCTGCTCCCCGGGGGCCATCCCCTCCTCTCCACGCCCTGCAGAGCCCCAGCTGGAGCGGGCAGGGAGGCCCCAACCCACATTCCCCTGTTTCTGGCCTCTATCCCTTCCCCTGCCCCCAGGAGGGTTCCTACCAAGAAGAAGAGCGGGCTGCACGTCGTCCTTGGCTGCAGCGTCCATGGTGGGCTCTGGAGATGCAAGGGACCTGGGGGGAGCAGCTCCTTGGACCACAGGTCCCTCTGTGAAGGAAGGAGGTATGGCCAGGTCACCTCAGAGATGAGAGGTAGGCACTTGGGAAGCCCTGTTCTCAGAGTCCCTTGATTTTGCCCGTTTCTGCTAAGTGAGGCAGGCCAGACCCCAGCTCTTGCTCTGAGTCATTGAGGACAGTGTGGTACGACTCACCAGGCTCGACCAGGCGCCCAGTTCTCCCTCCTCCGCACACAGTCCTGGCCTTGAGGTTGGCACTGTCCCCAAGCCTTCACGCCAGAGCTGGGAACTCCCATTCCTCCCTGAGCAGCAGCAGAATTCCTGGCCCCAAGGAAGCCTCTGTCCCAACCCAGAGCCCCTTCCTCCCGCCCAGGCCCCTCCCTCGCCAAGGCCACAGGCAGAAAGGAAGGAAGCTGAGTCTGACCGCTTTATTCCCAACAGGAAAGGAGGCCTGCGCCTGGGGTGGGATGGGGCCGGGAGGGGGACGCTCTGTCCCCGCAGGGGAGGAGGTACACCCCTGTGATCCTGGAGCCTGGTCTAGCCACCCAGGGACTTTGGGCACAGGCCGGAAGTAGATGGCCGAAGCTGGGGAGAAAAGCGAGGTGTGCAAACAGAGACGCAGATAGCACCCCAGTATGAAAAGCTGGGGCGCCTCTCGGGCTGCTGTGTGAACTGGCATGGTGGTGGCCAGAGAGGCCTCCAAGGACTAGGCAAGCTGTATTTATCTTATCTTGATCGTTCAAGGAGGCAGAGGGCCAAAAGATGGTTCCTAAAGCTGGCGCTTACGCATTTCATACCGTTGCCCTGTCTAGTTCCCCTCGGGCACCACACATTCCTCTGAGCACCACAGGGAGTAAGCACAGAGGCAGTAACCCCTCAGCATCCCCAGGTGTGGCCCCCAAACCAAAATCCAACAGCCAAGTGAGCAAACTAGAAGCAGATAGTGGTCACAGTTTTACAGGAAGAGAGGAATATGAATAAGATGGGCAGGGTTGGAGCGATTGTACAGCCGGTAGGGTGTTTACCTTGCTCTAGGTCCTGGTTGGATCCCCAGCATCCCATATGGACCCCCAGCAACACCAGAGTAACTTCTGAGTGCAGAGCCAGGAGTAAGCCCAGAGCATCTCCAAGTGTGACCCAAAAAGCCAAAACAAATAAATAAATAAAAAGAATAGGGTGAGTGAAGGGACTGGAGAGAGAGTACAGCAGGTTGACTCGCGTGATTCACCCAAGTTCAATCCCAGGTATGCACCTCTGAGCATCATCAGGAGTGACCCTGAGCACAGAGCTAGGAATAAGCTCTGAGCATCTTAGGTGTGACCCCTCCCCCCCACAGAAAACAAACAAGAACATAAAAGGTTTTAATTTTCTTATTGAATAGGCCAAATCATATAGTAATCACAAACTGGTTCTTATTGACTTATTTTCTGATCATTCTATTAGCCATTTCTTTTTTTTTCTTTTTTTGAGTTTTCTGGAATTTATTCTCCCTTTAAAGCTCAATATAAAATTTCAAATTTCAACAATGCTTTTAGAGAAAAATGTATACAAATTTAAATCAACGAACAATAATTATGCAGTTCAAAATGGACCTTAACATTTAAGAAAAGTGTCTAGAAAAAGCACAAACCCTACTCCAAAAAAAAAAATATGGAACGCTTCACGAATTTGCGTGTTATCCTTGAGCAGGGGCCATGCTAATCTTCTCTGTATTGTTCCAATTTTAGTATATGTGCTGCCGAAGCGAGCACTATTAGCCATTTCTAAAGCTTTGTTGGAATAAGCAATACAAAATAAATTTGTTATATGCCTAAGGGGGCAGTTGGGATTGGGAGGGAAAGTGGTGATATTGGTGGAGGAAGGTCACACTGGCAATGCTTGAAACAATGTATAATGAACAACTTTGTAAATCACGGTGTTTTTAATAAAAAGAAAAATAAAAAAGTTAGAAGAACAGAATGAATCCAGGAGGGGCTGGTACAGCAGGCTCTTAGGAGCAGGGATGGGGAACCACGTTGCAGTCTCCTCTACTGAGACCCTCGGTCACCCAACGCCTGTGGTTCCCCCTTCTCTACTGCCCGGGCTCCCCGCCGATTTCCTGGCAGTGGCGCAGGGGCGTGGGGCCTGGCTGTAATACCCGTCCCTCGGTCACTGGTCCAGTCTCAGAAATCCCCGTGCGCGTCCGTCCTCTTCGGCGGGTGCATATTGGCTGACGGTCCCTGGCCGTTTTGCGGCTGTGCCCGGGGAGAGGAACTGCGACCGGTCCCCCGAGCGCGGCGGAAGCGGAAGCCGCGACGCTGGCGCCGGCCGCCGGGAGGCCAGGAGCGGAAGCGGAAGTGGCGGCGGCGCCGGCCTGGCCTGGCCTGGCTCAGGGGAGGCGGCGGGCGGGCGCGATGGCGGAGGCCGGGCCACAGGCGCCGCCGCCCCCGGGGACCCCCAGCCGGCACGAGAAGAGCCTGGGGCTTCTCACCACCAAGTTTGTGTCGCTTCTGCAGGAGGCCAAGGACGGCGTGCTTGACCTTAAGCTGGTGCGGCTCGGGTTAAGGGGTGAAAGGGAGGGCTGGTGGACCAGGCCCTGGCCGGTAGAGGGAACTCCCGGCGCGGCGCAGCCGAAACCTCGACCAGCCGGCCGCCATCCCCATGCTTTCGCCCGGAAGCTCAGCAGAGCGCCGTTTCATTCATTCGGCCGAGCCCCGTGTCGCTCATTAATGTGCCCCGCTCGGGGCTTGCAGGGACCAGTCCTCGTGGTACCCCCCCCCCGGCCGGTGGGGGTGGCGGGGATCGGAGCATTCCAGGCTGCGACGGGCCTCTTGCAGCTCCGCAGCCCGGGACGGTTGTAATACCCAGGAGGAGGGCCAGAGCCCAAGCACGCCTTTTTCCAGACCTCCCGATTAAGTCTCTGGGGGATGACATCGGCAAGTGGGGCTGAGCATCCCTGTATCCCGTTCTGTCTTGCCAGGCAGCTGACACGCTAGCGGTGCGCCAGAAGCGGAGGATTTATGACATTACCAACGTGCTAGAGGGTATCGGCCTGATCGAGAAAAAGTCCAAGAATAGCATCCAGTGGAAGTGAGTTTGTAACTCTGTGTGTTTGTGGGGAGGGGGCGGGGGGGGGGTTGCCCGGAAGTGTGGGGAAGGAGCGGGTCGAGGGTGCAGGACAGAGCAGGGGTGGGTGGCGGTCCGGATGTCCCTCTCAGCCCTGCTCCCTGGCGCAGGGGCGTGGGGCCTGGCTGTAATACCCGGGAAATCGCTGACAAGCTGATTGAGCTGAAGGCCGAGATCGAGGAACTGCAGCAGCGGGAGCACGAACTGGACCAGCACCGAGTGTGGGTGCAGCAGAGCATCCGAAATGTCACAGAGGATGTGCAGAATAGTTGATATCCTCCTGGTGGTCCCCTCTTGGGCAGTGGGCACTCAAGTTCTCTCATGCCTGGGACAGTGCTGCCCCTGGGTGGATCTCAGCAGTGGCTTCCTTCCTTCCCCGGATCTCCTCCCCCCATGGGCCCTCCCCGTGTAGACCCCAGATTCTAGGAGTTTTCTCTGAGAGTAGTTCAGATCTGTGTTAAGGAGCCGAGTCTTCTCCGTGGGCCACCGTCGACTGTCACGGGCAGACTCCTCGCCATTCTCCTTAACCCCCACACTTTGGCCTACGTGACCCATGAGGACATCTGCAGATGCTTTGCTGGTGAGCAGAGCTTGGGGAGGGGGCGTGGGGCTGAGGTCGGGGACTGGGTTGAGTAACAGCCCTCGGCAGTGGACTTAGGGCTCCATCTCTTAAGGAGGTTTCTGGGGCCTGCTGAAAGAGGAAGCAGGCAGGGGGTTGTGGGTCACGGGGACTCTGTGAAGGCCGACCCCTGCCTGTGCCTTCCCTTGGGCTTGTAGGGAATGATGGAATCAGGTGTGGGTGGGTGGGGGTGATCAGGCATGTTAGCAGGGCTGTGGTGCCCTCTCCCAGCTTAGCGATGGTTTAGTTGCACGATGCATTCAGGGATCGCTCCTTCTCCATCCTGCATCCTTCACATGGGTCCTGGGGGAGAAGCCCTGGTCTTCCAGAACTCTGCACTGAGGGTACAGCCCTGCCGAGGCAGGAGAGGCCTGTAGCTGGCGCTTGTTTGCGCCCCATGTTTGAACCCAGGTTTTCTGTTTACTCACCCTGATGTTCTTTTGTTGTTGTTGTTGTTGTTGTTTTTTCTTTTTGGGTCACACCAGGCGATGCACAAGGGTCACTCCTGGCTCTGCACTCAGGAGTTACTCCTGGCAGTGCTCAGGGGACCATATGGGATGCTGGGAATCGAACCCGGGTTGGCTGTGTGCAAGGCAAACGCCCTACCCGCTGTGCTCTCTCTCCAGCCCCATTACCCTGATGTTCTTAACCTGGGGGAAAAAACCCTTCTCTGTCTCAGCCACTGTAGGGGTCAGTGGGGGGGTCAGGTGAGAGCTCCGTGAGACCCTCCTGACCAGCCCCTCAGAGCCCACAGTACCCTTCCTCACCCCAAGGGGTAGGCAGCTTCATTCCCAGCTCAGATTGAACCCCTGGGCTCTGACCTGCTCTTGTCATTCTAGGAGATACCCTCCTGGCCATCCGGGCCCCATCGGGCACCAGCTTGGAGGTGCCCATCCCAGAGGTGGGTGCTCAGCCACTGAGGGCGGGTGCTGGCTGTGGGGCCTGATAAGTCCCGGGTGGGGCAGGTAGGGGGAGCCCTGGGTTTGGGGTTATCTAAGAGGACGGGCAGCCTGGGGTGGGAGAGGACACTGGGGCCCTGGCCCCGGGTCAGGCAGAAGCCAGGCTGGCTCCCAGTCCCACCTGTCCCCCGTCGCCCAGGGCCTCAACGGGCAGAAGAAGTACCAGATTCACCTGAAGAGCGTGAGTGGCCCGATCGAGGTGTTGCTCGTGAACAAGGAGGCGTGGAGCTCACCGCCGGTGGCGGTGCCCGTGCCACCCCCTGAAGACTTGCTCCAGAGCCCACCCGCCGTGTCCACCCCCCCGCCCCCGCCCAAGCCTGCCCTGGCCCACCCCCAGGAGACCTCGCGCCCCAGCAGCCCCCAGGTGGTCACCTCCACACCCGTGCCTGTGAGCACCGGAGCCCAGGGGGTGGCAGGGACAGCAGCCGAGATCACAGGTAAGGCCTAGTGGGCAGCTGGCGGGGCGGCCGGACTTGGCACTGGAAGAGGATCCCCGGCCCCTATCCTTTTCCCCACCCCTGCTGGCCTCCCCTCACCTTAGGTCTCGCGTAACGGTGCCCAGGAGCTACCCCCCACCCCCATCTCAGTGCTTGGGGGAGTGGTGGTGCGGGCTGAGCATTGAACCCAGGGTGCTCAGCCCATGAGCTCCCTGTGCCCAGGCGAGCGTGGCGGGGGTCCATGCGGGCAGTCCCCCAGATTCGCCTGTGCCTTCTTTGCCTGGCGACCCCTGGATGGAATGTGTCACAGCAGCTACGTTGTCCACGGGCCTCCTGCCCCTCCTTGGACCCGGGGCAAGGGCTCTAGTCCCCATTCCTGTCCCTGAGTGAAGGGTGTGGGACTGTGATTGCAGTGAGTGTTGACCCTGGAACCGAAAGCAAGGACAGTGGTGAGCTCAGCTCTGTCCCGCTGGGCCCGACGGCGCTGGACACGCGGCCGCTGCAGTCGTCTGCCCTGCTGGACAGTAGCAGCAGCAGCAGCAGCAGCAGCAGCAGCTCGTCTGCACCCCACCCTTCTACCTCCTTTGAGCCCATCAAGGCGGATCCTACAGGCGGTGAGTGCTGCCCCCTTGCAGGCGGAGAATGCCCGGCCTCAATCAGAAGCAGTGGGGGCGGGCCCCCCAGGCTCTTGTCTCTTCCCCAGAGCTGACCAGCCCCCTGGCACCAGCCAGGCCTGGCCTTGACCCGAGAACTCTACCAGCAGGGGGAGGAGCCTGCCCTCACCAGGGCTCAGGCCCCATCACCCCTTTTCTGGCTTGAGAACTCCCTGGTCATTCGTCAATGTATCAGGTCTCAGGAAGGAGTTTGCTGTCCTGAGGAAGGTGCTTCAGCTCCAGGCAGAGCCTTCAGGTTCCAGAATGGGCACAGCTCTCCCATCACCTCTGAGAGAGGGGATGCCAACTGCTTGGGGGCTCCTCTCCAGCCTCTCCTTGGAGTTCTGCCACTTCTGGGATCCTGGGGACCTGCCTACCCCATGCTATGAGGGACACTTCTCCCATGTCCTCTCATCTTCCCTTTCTCCTCCTTCTCTCGAAAGACACATCATCTTGAAAGACTCCTCACTTGATCTTGGGTGTCCCGTCACCCTCAGGTCACCACCTTCAGGCCCGTGCCCCCCTGTTCCCCTTGCCAGCTCCATGTGGGTGTCCTCAGGTGCCATCCTGTTCTGCCAGATTTAAGGATACCAACTCTTGTCTCCTGTCTCACTTGCTTGTCCTTTGGCTCGTACATACTCTTCAGACAGTGGTCCTTGCAGCTTTGAGACCCATACTGTGCTATGGACCCCCTGACCTCTTTCTTGTGGGGTCCCTTGCCTGCACCCACTGAGTTCTTGTTCTGTGGTTCCTTTTTTTTTCTTTTTTTGGGTCACACCCGGCAATGCACAGGGGTTACTCCTGGCTCTGCACTCAGGAATTACCCCTGGCGGTGCTCAGGGGACCATATCGGATGCTGGGAATCAAACCCGGGTCGGCCGCGTGCAAGGCAAACGCCCTCCCCGCTGTGCTATCGCTCCAGTTCCATTGTTCTGTGGTTCTTAGCCATGCCCCACTCTGGTCAGATGTCACTCCAGTTCCCTTCCCGCTGGCCTTCCTTGGCTTCCCACAGACCCCAGCTCAATCCCTGACCTCTCCCATCGGTGCCTCTAGTCACTGTCCTCAGGATCACACTTGCTCACCTCAGGCCGAAATTCCGCAGCAGCCACCTCCTTACCCAGACTTCTAGGATCTGTTTGAAATGAAGTTGATGGTGGCATTTCTATGTACAAAAGAACTGGTGTGGGGTGATACCCCCAAGGGTGTAAGGGGGCTACTCCTGGGACAGTGCTTGGAAATTGCCCCCAGCGGTGCACAGGGAACCATGTGCAGGGATTGAACCCAGGTCTTCAGCGTGCATGGTCCGGGCTTGTGCTGCGGAGCTCTCTGGCCCACAAACATATCTTCAACAGTCCCGAGGGACATAGTGCAGGGCACTGCAGTGTATGTCTTGCATGCAGAGGTACTGAGTTTGATCCCTAACACTACATGGTCCTTTGAGCACCACCAGGTGGGGCCCTGATGAGTTTTAACCCTGTAAGGCCCGAGCGTCGAACCTTGAGGCCTGGATTGCTTTGGGGGGAGTATAGGACTTTCAGTGCCCCTCACCTCAACAGCGGGGTGACATCCCAGTGACGCAGCTGAACCTGCCACTCCGGCCTCTTCCTTTCCTCCACATCGCCCGCTCAGACCGAAGCAGTGTCACGTGGGTGCAGGCCCGCGTGTCCCCCCCTGGAGTGCCATCCACCACAGGCGGCGCCACAGCACACTGCCCTCCAACGGGGCTGGCTCTGCAGCGCATCCCATCCCTGCAGTGGGCCTGGGCACCCGGGCTCAGCACTGAGGGACACGGACAGCAGTGCCCTTGGCTGGCCGTGTGCAGCCTCTGCGGGCGTGGAACAGGAGCTGAGGCAGCGGGCAAGGGCCTAGTGCTCTGAGCCTGGCTTTTTCTCCTGTCTCCCTGGGGGAGCCTTGAGTGTCTCCTCTTTCTGCCTTAATGATGGGACCATGTGCCGGGGCATGTGCCCTACCACTTAAGCCTGCCGTTCTTCTCTTTCAGTTCTGGAGCTCCCCAAAGAGCTGTCAGAAATCTTCGACCCCACCCGAGGTAGGGCCGCCTTCCCCCCTGGGGCTGGGCTTGGCGGGGTCTTGGGGTTTTCCCTAGCGTTTCTGAAGACCTGGTGGTTCCCTCTGGCCCCTGGGCAGCGAGGGCAGCTCCTGCTGGGTGGGTCTTCCTCCTGGTGGGGGAGGGTGGGGAGGTGGCGGCCAGCCTGTAACTGAGCCCTCCCTCCTCTCCCCCTCCAGAGTGCATGAGCTCGGAGCTGCTGGAGGAACTGATGTCCTCAGAAGGTGGGTGGCCCCGGACGGTGGGGGTGGGGGCCAGGGGGCAGAGGGCTGGTGGCTGTCGCTGGGCCTTGGCCTGGGGCCTCAGCCTGGTGCTCTCCGCAGTGTTTGCCCCCCTCCTCCGCCTTTCTCCACCCCCGGGAGACCACGATTACATCTACAACCTGGACGAGAGCGAAGGAGTCTGTGACCTCTTTGATGTGCCTGTTCTCAACCTCTGACTGGCAGGGACGTGCCCCGTGTGGCTGGGAGAGACTGACATGGGGCTGCCAGGCGACCCACCCCCACCCCAGCCCACGCAGCCGAGCCGCTGCCCCCCAGGCTCCTCTCCCGCGCCAACGCCTGTGCTGGGTGGGTAGGGAACTGCCACAGCGCCTGCCACCCAGGAGCCGAGTGTTCGCCTCTCCTGTCCGGGCCCTTCGTCCACCTTGTGCCCTTCGTGAGCCCTGCCACCCAGTGGCACAGACCCCCAGAGCCCGTCGTCACCCACCCCTATAGGGCAGCTTGTCCAGTCCCCGTGCCCACTCCCCTTCCTGCCCGCCTGCCCCTGCCCCTGCCCCTGCCCCTCAGCGGAACCTCACAGTCTCTCTTCGGCTGGGCCCTTAGCCCTAGGACCTGCAGGCGTGGGGGGTGCTGACAGCAAGGAACACAGGTCTCTAGATAAGCGTGCCTGCAGGTGAGAGCCCGGGATTGGTACCCAGCCTGCCCGCCGCCCATTAGCCCCTCTCGTTTATTCATTTCCCCTCATTTAGAGCCATTTACAGAGATTTAGAAATATTTGCAGTAACGAATGGATTACTATATAAAGATTATTTTTATACTTTTTGCAGCAAAAGGAAATTGTAATATTTGTACAGTGGCCACGTAAATAAAGACCATGCCTAAGGCGATCTCCGATCTGGTTCTTGGGCGGGCGGGCGGGCCCTCCCGGGGCCGGCGCTGGGTGCTGGGTTGGCGGCGGAACTGGGTGGGTCACCTTGTGGAATGGGACAAGTGGCAGCACAGCACCCGGCTGCCTTCCCCGCCCCCACCTGCAGCACCTTGGCGCGGGGCGGGGCGCCGGCGGCGGGGCGGGCCAGGGCGGCGCCTTCCCGAGCTCCCACCCCGGGTCCAACCCGGAACTAGCCAGGGCGCCCCGGGAAGGCCGCGCCGGCTGGAGGGAGTGAGCGAGTGAGCGCGGCGGCCAGTGCGGGCCGGGCCGGAGTCAGGTGGCGCGCGAGGGGACATCGCCGGCCCAGGTGTGCCCTCCGTGAGGCTCCCGGCGCCCACGATCCGGCCTGACCATGGCGCCCCCGCGAAACGTGGTGAAGATCGCCGTCCAGATGCGTGACGCCATCCCGCAGCTCATCCAGCTGGACCAGGTCACTGGGCCTGGCCGACCTCCCTCCGGCCCACCGCCGCCTCTGGGTCGCCCCCTATCAGCCCGCTCCACCCCTCCCCCGACTCCTCCCCACCCTGGTCCCATGAGTGACCCCTCCACTTGCAGGCGAAGCCCCTGGCCACAGTGCTGAAGGAGCTGTGCGACACGTGAGTGCCGGGCACGGTGGGGGCAGGGTGGTGGAGGGGGCGCCCCCTACTGGCCCCGCTGAGCCGGTACCGCCCCGCAGGTGGAGCCTGGATCACCCTGAGCGCTATGCCCTGCAGTTTGCGGACGGACACAGGCGGTACATCACTGAAAACGTGAGCGGCACCCCTGGGCCCGCCCTCACCCGCCCTCCCGGGCCCCCCTCCAACCCGCCCGCCCGGTCTCCGCAGACACGCGTCCCACGTGGACAGCCCCGGGTCTGCGTCTTCAGAGCGTTTCCTGACCTCCTCTCTTTCCCCCTCTCCAGAACCGCTCAGAGATCAAGAACGGCAGCATCTTGTGCCTCAGCACTGCCCCAGTAATGCACCTCCTGGCCCTGTCCCCTCTCCTGCGTCCCCCAGTGGACGCTGGTTACTCCACTTCCCATCCCCACTGCTTCCCAGCACTGCCTCATGTCTGCCCCTGCCCTGCCCTCACCAGGACCTGGAGGCTGAGCGGCTGCTGGGAGCCCTGCAGAGAGGGAGTCGTGAGGGCCGCCTGGAGGCCCTCCGACGCCTGGGTCAGCTGGCCCCGGACATGACCTTTGCTCAGGAAGTCATCAGCCGCGATGGGCTTCAAAGACTAGGCAGCATCATCGAGGATGGGGAGGAGTGAGTAGGGGGCTGCAGTGGTGGCTGGGCTGGGTGGGCTGGGTGGACAGCTGCTTCTTCTTTGCTCAGCCACCCCCACCCCCACCCCCCGCAGCCTGGGGGAGGTGCTGTCCCTGGCACTGCAGGCCTTCTTGGAGCTCATGGAGCATGGGGTGGTGTCTTGGGAGATCCTCAGCGCCAGCATCGTGAGGAAGGTGAGGGGACTTTTCCAGAGTCAGCTGGGAGGCAGAGAGGGGGCGGTCAGCTGTCAATCTTGGGCTGGCGACTGCCCTGTGTTCCTCTTCTAGGTGGTGAACTATGTGAACTTAAACCTGATGGATGCGTCCGTGCAGCCTCTGGCTCTCAGGCTGCTGGAGAGCGTGACCTTGAGCAGCCCTTCCCTGGGCCAGCTGGTCAAGAGCGAGGTGCCACTGGAGAGGCTGCTGGCCCACCTCCAGGTGTAAGGGTTTGGGGGTGGGGTCCAGAGGAGGGACACAGGGCCAGACCCTCGTGGCCCAGCTGAGTCCTCTTCTTGTCCCAGGATGAACCAGCAACTGCAAACAAAAGCCATGGCGCTGCTGACCGCCTTGCTGCAGGGGGCCAGCCCTGCTGAGCGGAAGGTGGGTCCCACGGGTTGGAGCACTGCCCAGGCCTACAGGGTTGGGGTACGTGCTTGCAGTGTGGCTAAATTTACATCTAAATCCTCCTCCCTCCCCCCCCCCCCCCCAGCACATGCTTGACTTCCTGTGGGAAAGAAACCTCCGCCAGTTCATTTACAAGGTAGGCGGGCGGGGCCAGTACGCTCCCCGCCGCTGTCGCTCCCAGTGACCCCACACTCACACCCAGACCTGCCGGCTTCTAGAACATCATCCACAGTGCTACTCCCCTGGGCGACGAGATGGCCCACCACCTGTACGTGCTGCAGGCCCTCACGCTGGCGCTGCTGGAACCGCGCATGCGGACTCCGCTGGACCCCTATAGCCAGGTGGGGGAGGTCTTCAGGGGGTGCTCTTGATGTTCGGTGGGGGACTCGACTTGGCCTGGAATCTGTGATCCTGACCGTCTCTGCACAATGCCCCCAGGAGCAGCGGGAGCAGCTGCAGGCCCTGCGCCAGGCTGCCTTTGAGTGTGACGGGGAGTCCCTGGGCAGCGGCTTGAGCGCCGACCGCCGCCGATCCCTCTGTGCCCGGGAGTTCCGCAAACTGGGCTTCACTGTGAGTGCCACCCCCAGCTTCCTGCCCTCCACAGCTCAGTCCAGGGCTGCACTTCCTGAGCCACCTGTCCCCTGGCCCCCAGAACAGCAACCCCGCGCAGGACCTAGAGCGCGTGCCGCCCGGGCTGCTGGCCTTGGACAACATGCTGTACTTCTCCAAGCAAGCGCCCAATGCCTACAGCCGGGTCAGTGTTGGGGGGCGGCTGGAGGAGCCTGCCCACCTCGGCACAGTCCCCACAAGCTTAGCTGTGACTCCCTGCCCCCCTTCTCACCCTGCCACCCCAGTTTGTGTTGGAGAACAGCAGCCGGGAGGACAAGCATGAGTGTCCGTTTGCCCGGAGCAGCGTCCAGCTGACCGTGCTGCTGTGTGAGCTGCTCCATGTCGGGGAGCCCTGTGAGTGAGGCCCAGCTCGGCGTGTCTAGGAAACGGGGGGACGGAAGGGCTGGGAGGCCCAGGGGCTGCGTACACATTCTCCCTGAGCCCCCCTGCTCCCCCCACCACTTCAGGCTCTGAAACGGCCCAGGACTTCTCACCCATGTTCTTTGGCCAAGACCACAGCTTCCACGAGCTCTTCTGCGTGAGCATCCAACTGCTGAACAAAACTTGGAAGGAAATGCGGGCCACGCAGGAGGACTTTGGCAAGGTGGGTGGCAGCCTGGACATGGAGATAGCTCTCTCCCTCGGGGCCAGGGCCGAGGCCCTGATCTACGCTCCCTGTGGTCCTAGGTCATGCAAGTCGTGCGGGAGCAGCTGGCCCGCACGCTGGCCCTGAAGCCCAGCTCCCTGGAGCTCTTCCGAACCAAGGTGAACGCGCTGACCTACAGCGAGGTACTGCGGCTGCGGCAGACGGAGCGGCTCCATCAGGAGGGCACGCTGGCCCCGCCCATCCTGTGAGTCCCCGGGGACCCCCGTCCTGGTCCTGCCAGCACCTCTCCAGCTGGTTGGTGAGAGCCCCTTCTGATGTACCCCACCCCCGACCCCACAGGGAGCTGCGGGAGAAGCTGAAGCCAGAGCTGCTGGGCCTGATCCGCCAGCAGCGCCTGCTCCGCCTGTGCGAGGGGACCCTCTTCCGCAAGATCAGCAGCCGGCGGCGCCAGGGTTGTGGAGTGGGCACACGTAGGGTGGGGCACTCCGCAGGAGCCAGGACCCTGCTCATGACATTCCGTCTTCCGCTTTCTGTCCACAGACAAGCTGTGGTTCTGCTGCCTGACCCCCAACCACAAGGTGTTGCAGTATGGGGACGTGGAGGAAGGTGCCGGCCCTCCTGCCCCCGAGAACCTGCCTGAGCAGCGTAAGGAGGGCGTGGGCTGGGCCCCAACACCCGCTCCCCTGCCTCGACTGGTCTTGCCCCAGGACCACCTGCTCCCCAGGGTCAGCCTCATTTGCTTCCTGCAGTTCCCGTGGCCGACCTCAGGGCACTTCTGATGGGCAAGGACTGTCCCCACGTCCGGGAGAAGGGCTCTGGGAAGCAGAACAAGGTGCGTGCAGCAGGGCGGGAGCTCCCTGCCACCGACCCCAGCCCCACCGCTGTCGCCTGCTCAGTGCTCGCTGCTTCCTCCCTTCCCCAGGACCTCTACGAGCTGGCGTTCTCGGTCAGCTACGACCGCGGGGACGAGGAAGCGTACCTCAACTTCATTGCCCCCTCCAAACGGGAGGTGAGTGGACAGGCCAAGCCAGTGGGAGGCGGCAGGGCAGGGCCGGGCCCGTGCTCACAGCTCTGGCCCTGCCGGCAGTTCCACCTGTGGACAGATGGGCTGAGCGCCCTGCTGGGCAGTCCCATGACCAGTGAGCAGACGCGGCAGGACCTGGAGCAGCTGCTCACCATGGAGACCAAGCTGCGGCTGTTGGAGCTGGAGAACGTGCCCATCCCCGAGCAGCCGCCCCCCGTGCCCCCTCCACCCACCAACTTCAACTTCTGCTACGACTGCAGCATTGCTGAACCTTGACGGTGCGCCTGGCCCGGGCTTGGGCTGCTTCACCCCCAGAGGGGGGCGGGTGGCAGGGTGAGAGGCGTGGGCCTAGGCAGAGGCAATAAAGGGTGCTTGGTTGTCGGGTATATGAGCCAGCTCTGAACTTTGGGGGCCCAGGCGCCTTCCAGTGGGGCATCAGGCAGGGTCCCCAAACTGGGGCTGTCTTTGAGGGCCAGGTGTTCTGAAGGTGATGCCACCTGGTTGGGCCTGTGGTCAGGAGCTGCCAGCCAGGTGGGGGAGAAAGGGCCAGACAGGTATGGCCTCTAATGGACACCTTCCTGGGCAGCATTAACCAGGGCCTCCTCGAGGACCCCAGGTTCCAGAAGGCTCCTGAAAGTGTGAGCTCAGCCCTCAGCCTGCTTGCCTGGCCTTTGGAGGCCCGGGAGGCCTTCTGGAGAGGATTCCAGCTTTCTCGAACTGAGTGAGGAAGCACTGCATTCTTGGATGCAAACTCGGCAGGAGGTCAAAGGAGGTCTTGGGAGGACCCTGAGGTAGCTGTGGGGTGACAGGCCTCCTGAGTCTCCTGCCTTTGGGGGGAAAAGCCTGACCTGCTTGGGCTCAGAGCGGCTTTTGGCCAATCTAAGGGAGCTAACTTAGGAAACCCCAGGAGTGGGGCCCCCATTGGCCCTGCACTGGGCAGGTTCAACTGAGATGGGGAAGGGAGGGGCCCTTAGTCAGAGACTTCAGACATGGTGGTAAGATGTGGAATTTTTAATCCTTTTGAGCTGGCAGCAAACACAGTGGCCTGACTACCAAGGTCAATTTCTGGGAGAGGGTGGAGTGCATGCCGTCAGGGGTGAGGAAGGATGTAGGCCTGGAGGAAGCAAGCAGCTGCTCTGGGGCTGGTGGCCGCACCTTAGAACTGGAAAGGGATCCCCTCTGGGCTGGGTGCAGATGGCCACGAAGCCCCCGGGCTGCCCTGGAGGAGTCCCTGCCCCTGTCCTAGAAAAAGGGGAGAACTTGAGGCAGGGGCGCTGAAGGATGGAGCAGCAGGAGGCAGGAGACTGGCATCTAAGTGCGGGTCGGGCACAGGCCTGGAGGCGGCAGGTTGGGCCTCAGAGCGTCAGGGTCAGGTCTGCGCCCCCCACAAAGCGGGACTGGACACAGGTCACCTGGGGGAGCTGCCCTTGGAAGCGCTTGACCGCAGCCATGCTGATGCGGGAACACAAAGACACGTCCAGCACCCGGAGCTGCCTGCAGACCTGCGCGGTGGCAGCCAGAGTCCTGCAGGAAACCGCTGGCTGAGGGTAGGTCTGGGCTGGCCGCCTTCCCTCCCCGCACCGGGGCAGCCTGGCGTGCACTGACCGCTCTGTGAGCTGACTGCAGCTGGAGAGGTTGAGGTGCTGCAGCCGCGGCCAGGAGTTCACAGCCTGGGCCCAGCCCTCATCGCTCAGGAGGTTGCAGTGACTCAAGGCCAAGCGCTCCAGGCTGGGGCAGCCCAGGGCTACAGCCACCAAGCCCTTGTCTGTGAGTGCAGGCAACAGGCTCAGGGACAGCTGCCTCAGTTGAGGGAACTGGAGCACCTGCAAGGATAGTAGGCTCAGTGAGTTTGTTTGGACCCAAGCTCTAGCCTCAGGGTCCTCAAGTCTTCCCATGCTCCTTGTCCCACACCTTGCCCAAGCTGGCATCCGTCAGCTGGCTGCAGGCGGTGAGGTCCAGCTGCTGCAGGGCCTGCAGTGCTAACAGGGTCCGACCCTGCTGTGGTGGCAACAGGGCCCTGTGTAGCTGTGGAAGCTGCTCCAACGCCTCCTGTTCTTCAGTGGCTCCTACAAAACAACTCAGGAGAGGATTCTGACCCCAAGGGTCCCACCCCAGGATGCTCTCTTTAGGCTCCTCACTTGGTTCTTCCAACCCCAAAAGGCCCCAGTCACGGAGTTCCTTGCACCAGGCCAGACGCAGGACTGAGAGGTGTGGGAGGTGGGTGCAGATGGCCTGCACCGTCCGGCTGGTGAGGGACACGCAGGAGGATAAGTCCAGCACCCTGAGACTTGGACCCAACATGGAGATCAAGGAGAGCACGGAGGCGTCCTAGAAAGGAAGTGTCCGGACAGGCAATAGGGGACCCTGAAAGGACCTTGTGCAGGTAGGACTATGGGGGTGCGACCCCGGAAGGATTTTATCAGAGGACAAAGTTCTGGCCTGGCCGAAGCAGGAAGGATGAGGGTGGGAATTTCTTGGGCGTCCCTAGCCCCTGGCTGGAGGGGTGGGTTTAGGCAGCCCTTGGCCACAGCTTATTGGCCAGTGGTGGGCATGTGATCTTCGCTGAGCCTATCAGACACGCTCCCTCTAGAATTTGAAGCAGAGCTGGGGTCGGGGTAGGACTGCCACCTGGCGGCCGCAGTCGGAATGGGGGCAGCAGGAACCGGCCACTGAGCGGAAGCCGGTTTGCAGAAGACGCGGGAGCAGAGGGGCCCCACAGACAGCGGCTCAGATTCGTGGTGGCGGAAAGACGGAGTTGGGCAGGGAAAAGTCAGGTTCAGGTCACACTGGTTACAGTGAGAGGCTGAAGGCTGTCACCACCACCACATCTGTTCTCAGGCCTGACCTCCCCACTCTGCCCTGTGGTTCTGTATTGGTTGGGGGGAAGAGGGGGTATTAAGCTATATCCCGCGATGCTCAGAGGTTCCTCCTGGCTCTGCACTCGGGAATTACTCCTGGCGGTGGGTGCTCAGGAGAACATATGGGGACTGAACCCGGCTCAGCAGTGTGCAGCACAAGCACCCTACCCACGTTATTATCTCTCTCCAGCGCTAGTTCTATCACCTTACACCCACCCTGTGCCCTCCCCAGGCTTCCTGAAACTTGGCACAGGCTTGACAGATGCAAGGCCCTTCCTGAGGTCACATGCCCAGGGCCGCACGCCCGGGGAAGGAACAGCCACTCACCTTGAGTGAGGAGCAGTGGGCCAGGCTGAGGGAGACCAGGGGCGGAGCACTGTGCACTGCACCCAGGGCCTGCGCCAGTTCCCGCCCGCTCACGAGGCAGCACTCGGCCATGTCGAGGCTCTGCAGCTCCCGTAGGGCCCCCAGAGCTGCGCATCCCGCATCCGTCAGCCGCTGCAGCTTCCTCAGGCTCAGGTGCTGCAGGCGCCGCAGGCCCCGGCTCACAGCCAGCAGGGCCCCATCCGCCAGCTCTGAGCAGCCACTGAGGTCCAGGGAGGTGAGGCCCGGTTGCTGGCGGCAGAGGGCAGCCACAGCCTCGGTGGAGAGCTCCCTGCAGCTGTGCAGACTCAGCTCCTGCAACTGCAGCCCCGCCACCTGCCCCAGGGCCTGCAGGGCCTCTGGGGGTAAACCCGTGCCACTCAGGTCCAGGGACTGCAGTCGGCCGGCTCGCTCCTGCACAAACCGAAGCAGGTTTCGGAAGGAGAGTTGGGTCGGGTAGGAGTTCTGGTTGCTGATGGAACCTCGGGCTGGGCCTGAGTCAAAGCTGAGGTGGCAGTAGGCCAAGGAGAGGCGCTCCAGGCTGGGGGCACAGCTGCTGAGCCGGTTGAAGCTCAGGTCGGCCAGTTCCTGCAGGCCTGCAAGGCTGAGCTCCCGGAGGCTGCCCAGCGCCTGCCGGACCTGCTGGGCCGTCTCTGGCTGAGCCAGCAGCATGCCTGAGGCGAAGAGGCTGTTGCAGCCACTGAGGTCAAGGATGCGCAGCGCTGGGCAGCCCCGGATCAGGGCCACGAACGAAGCCTCTGTGGGGCTGCCCCCGCTCAGGCACAGGCTCTGCAGGTGCGGCCCCAGGTGGCAGGCAACAGACTGCAACACCTGGTGCGAAGTGGGTGAGTCGTCCAGTTGGGTCAGGCCAATGCAGCAGACGCCCCTGATGCCCAGGTTCTTGATGGCCGGGAGGGAAGTAGAGGCCACGGGGATGTTGTACCGTACCTTGGTCTAAGGGACAGGGAAGCAGGAGGCCTGGAGTGAGCCCTCTGGCGTCTAAGGGGCGCTGGTCACTGCCTGCTCAGGAAAGGGCCTTGCCCCTGTGGGTACCCATTGTGCTGTGTAGTGCCAGGTGTGGGGAGAGAGGTGCCAGTGGGAAGGGATGCCGGGAAGAGCAGCAGTGGCACGGGAGCTCCCGGGAAATGAGCAAGGGAGGCCGAGGGTTAGTGATGGGCAGGACCAGATGCCTATGAGGTGCGGCAGAGGAGGCAGCTGGCATGCTGGACATGGGAAGGTTGGGGGATGGCCTGGAGGAGACCAAGCGAAGTTCCCAAGGGAGTAGGAGGGCAGAATGATGTTTGTGTGTGATTAGCCCTTAACACCTCAGGGCCCTGCGGGCTCCCCTGCTGAGGGTACACTGTGGTCCCCTCTGCTCGCTCCTCTCTGGAGGGAGGAGGGACGGAGAGAGTGTAGGAGGGCCACAGTGGAGTGCATGAGGTCGTGGGGTCAGCTCAGGGCTAAGTCTGAGAAGAATTTAGGGGTACTCCAGTTTCCATAGAACTTTCCTGGACTGGGGAGCCAAGGGAGCCAAGGGGAAGCTGGTCCAGGTCTGTGGGGAGAGGGAGGAGGAGGAATCCCAGGTCCCAGCCCGTGTCTCAGCCTCTGCTTGCCCAGGTTGCCGGCAAGTGGTCCAGAAGGGGGCACCTGTTCTCCTGGCTCAGTGAGGCCCGAGGTGGAGAGGTGGCCGAGCTCAGGAGAATCTGTCCTGTCTCTTCCTAGCACAGGAAGTGGCGGCTGTGCCCCGTGTGTTCCCACGTGCCTCAGCAAAAGGGGAAGGGAATTGGTGAGAGCCTAGGTGGTGGCTTCCCAGGGACTGCCTGGGACCAACCCCCACGGTGGGGAAACCAGCTTGTCTCCTGCCCCCAGAGCAGCCGCTACAGTGGCCCGTGGCTGTGTAATGAGAGATGGGGACAGCTCCAGGCCACTCCCACAGGAACGTGGGGTCACTCTAGGCACCCCTCTGGACTCCTTTCCCTGGTGTGCTCATGGTGGGTGTGAGGGTGTTCTCCCCAGCTCCCCGCATGGACTGGGTCAGAGAAACTGGCAGGAGGGAGGGGCGCTCCAGCATGTGAGAGAGGGGGTCTAGTGGCAGATGTGCTGAAGATGATGTCAAACAGCGTGAACTGGCTGTGGGGGTGCAGGGGT